ACCTGGAGGCGGTGTAGAAGTTATCGTTGGACACCAATTGGGATTTATTGAACCGGATACAGTTCGACAAGCACTCCGTGGTGTTGTACAAAATTTGATTTCCGAGAAGCCGGTTCAGAACTTGGAGGTCGGGAATCCCGATGGACCTAATGAATCTTCAAGCGGGTCTGCTTTAAGCCAACCAAAAGTCGAGTCTGCTTATATGAAGATCTTGGACCAGGTCTTCGGCAAGAGACTTCATTTGGCAAATCAAATCGATTCCCAAAATGCTGGTATCTCGTCCACTGTTGCGTCAAATCCAGAATTTGGTTTTGGTTCTCTTTTAGCTAGAAAGGAGCATCGCCAAAGGTTTACCGAGGAAATTAAGGAGGCGGCCCAATCTAAAGACTTCATCACAGAAGCACCTAAATCATGGCTATCAAAATGGTCTGCAGGTGCCAGTGATGATTTGGCAGACGAAATCATTGCTCGTCTTGAAACAGATGGATCTGCATTATCACGAAACTTACTGTCCAAGAAGGGATTATTCCGCAAGGAATCTCCTTGGCTTGTTGGCTCTGATGCTTGGGCTTACGACCTTGGCAACTCTGGTGTACACCACGTCATTGCATCCGGTGAAAATGTCAACATGCTCATCATCGACTCCACACCATACTCTGAGCGCTCAGCCGCTGATGCCGAAAGAAGAAAGAAGGACATTGGTCTTTATGCTATGAACTTTGGTAACGCTTACGTTGCATCTGTTGCTGTGTATAGTTCTTATACTCAAGTGCTACAAGCAATGATTGAGGCAGATCAATTCAATGGCCCATCTGTCGTCGTTGCTTACCTTCCATACTTCAAAGAAAATGATTCTCCTCTTACAGTTCTCCAAGAAACTAAGAAGGCGGTCGACCTCGGCTACTGGCCATTGTACAGATGGAACCCTGACAATGAAGAAAAGGGCGAAGTCAACTTCTCTCTGGACTCAGAGCGAATCAAGAAGGAACTTAAGGACTTCTTGGCTCGTGATAATCATCTCACTCAGTTGATGAAGAAGCATCCCCAATTCTCATCCAATCTTTCCGAAGATTACGGTACAGAAGTTCGTGCTTTACAGAAGAGAAAGGCCAAGGATGCATACAATGAGCTTCTTGAGGGTATGCTCGGTGCACCCCTGACTATTCTCTTTGCTTCGGACAATGGCAACGCTGAATCTCTATCAAAGAGATTGGGTAACAGAGGTAAAGCCCGTGGCTTGAAGACAATCGTCATGGCTATGGAGGATTATCCCATCGAAGATCTTCCCACTGAAGAAAACATTGTCTTCTTGACGAGTACTGCTGGTCAAGGAGAATTCCCACAAAATGGTCATGCATTCTGGGAAGCCATCAAAGATAACACCGACTTGGATCTCGCATCAGTCAATTACTCTGTTTTCGCTCTCGGAGATAGTCATTACTGGCCTCGCAAAGAAGACAAACACTACTATAATAAGCCAGGAAAGGATCTCGATCGTGTCTTGGCAAATCTCGGTGGAAAGCGTCTTGCTGATGTTGGACTGGGTGATGATCAGGATCCAGATGGATACCAAACTGGTTATCAAAACTGGGAACCTATCATTTGGCAATCTCTCGGAGTCGACAAAGTTGAAGGTCTTGAGCCTGAAGCTCCACCGATTACTAACGAGGACATTAAGATCGAGTCCAACTACCTCCGTGGTACCATTGAAGAAGGATTAAAGGATATGTCAACTATGGCCATTTCTGCCGCTGATCAACAATTAACTAAGTTCCACGGTACGTATATGCAAGATGACCGTGATCTTCGAGATGAACGCAAGGCACAAGGCCTCGAGCCTGCCTATTCTTTCATGATTCGTTGTAGATTGGCTGGTGGTGTTGCCACTCCAAAGCAATGGATCCAAATGGATGATGTTAGCAACGAATTCGGAAACGAGACCATGAAACTTACCACCCGTCAAACCTTCCAATTCCACGGTGTCATCAAAACCAAGCTCAAGGGAGCCATGCGTGGTATTAACAAATCTTTGATGACCACCATCGCTGCATGTGGTGATGTCAACCGTAACGTCATGTGCAGTAGTTTGCCAACTGGTTCAAAATACCATAAGCAAGTTCATGCTATTTCTAAGAAGATTTCCGATCATCTTTTACCATCTACAACTGCTTATCACGAAATTTGGATCAAGGATGAAGATGATAAGAAGGTTCAAGTAGCTGGCGAAGCTGTTCAAGATTATGAGCCTCTCTATGGTCCTACTTATTTGCCAAGAAAGTTTAAGATCACTATTGCCATCCCACCACACAACGATACTGATGTATATGCCCACGATGTTGGTCTTATTGCTATCAAGGGTGAAGATGGTAACTTGGCAGGATTCAATCTTCTCGTCGGTGGTGGTATGGGTGTTACACATAACAACAAGAAAACATATCCTCGAACTGGAAGTAACCTTGGATATGTGTCCAAGGAACAAGCTCACATCGCTTGTGAGAAGGTCATGCTTGTTCAGCGTGATCACGGTGATCGCAAGAACCGAAAACATGCTCGTCTCAAGTACACTGTTGATGATATGGGTGTCGATGTTTTCAAGGGCAAGGTCGAAGAATTATGGGGCCAGAAATTCGAGAAGGCTAAGCCATTTAAATTCCAAAGCAACATCGACACATTCGGCTGGGTTAAGGATGAGACTGGATTAAACCACTTCACTCTGTTCATCGAAAACGGTCGTATTGAAGACACTGCCGACTTCCCAATGAAGACTGGTCTTCGAGAAGTTGCTAAGGTTCACAAGGGTGAATTCAGATTAACTGGTAACCAACATTTGATCCTCAGCAACGTTGCCGATGAAGACCTCCCAACGATGAAAGAGATGTTAGCTAAATACAAGCTTGATAATGTTTCTTTCTCCGGAATGCGTCTTTCTTCCTCCGCATGTGTCGCTTTCCCAACATGTGGTCTTGCCATGGCTGAGTCCGAACGTTATCTTCCACAACTCATTACCAAACTCGAAGGCGTGATTGAAGAAAATGGCATGCGTCAAGATTCTATCGTTATGCGTATGACAGGATGTCCTAACGGATGCGCTAGACCTTGGTTAGCCGAAGTTGCTTTCGTGGGTAAAGCCTATGGTGCATATAACATGTATCTTGGAGGTGGATATCACGGTCAACGTCTCAACAAACTCTACAGAAGCAGTATCAAAGAAGAAGAAATTTTGGAGATCATGAAACCATTATTGAAGAGATACTCATTGGAAAGAGAGGAGGGCGAGCACTTTGGAGATTTCTGCATCAGAATTGGTATGATTAAAGAAACGACTGAGGGAAAGACTTTCCATGATGATGTGAGTACTTCTGTTCTTTAATAAATGACTGAGATTTGTCCTAACGTTGATATTAGGTCGCCGAGGAGGAATCCGACGAAGAATGAAGATATGATTGATTGATTGATTGAATAAGATTCCAATAGAATAGTCCTTTCTACACTGCACGTGCGCATGGCGTTTCAACGGGTTTAAAATTACCAAATGATTTCTGTTACTCTTCTTTTCTTGTTCATATCTTCACAGATATGCTATGAATGTATTTCAAACAAAGTTTGGCACTCAACTGCACATCCGATGGGGTTGGTTAGTTTTCTCAATCTGTACATATTTGAGTCACTGGCAGCATTGTCTTCTTAGATTCAAATTAAAATGTACATTACAAAATTCAGGAAGAAATTTGACATCTAAATTGTCTTTTCAGTACTTTATGATGCCGTCACAGTCGAGGACAAGCCAAAGTCAAAGAGTCGAACTTTGAGTGAATTTTATCATGGCTTGGAGATGGGCAATGACTGCAAAGATCGTTGAGGCATTTCATATCAAAGTCAAGTAAAAGGAGGATGCAATTCATAATGGGATGGATTGGTGCTCTCATGGCGCAACATTCAGGTAAGATTTTATCAGTTTTGTTAATGGAGTGATCCTTTGATTTCCTACAGTAGACTTTGAATCTGTTGAATTGCTTAGGGACGACATTGATGAACTGAACTTGGCACATTCATAGGTTCAAGCAGAAAGAAGCGCCAGACGGATCTCTATATGTCATCTAGTGTAATGTAAAGCCGTTTGCTACGGATACTAGGTTTTTCCTCGTGTCTGAAATGCATGTTGATACTAGGAATTGCTTTCTGTGGCTGCAAGATATGAATTATAAGTTACTCACTTGATTTGGTAATGCTGGTATAAGTTGTACCACTTCTATGCAGCTCAGATTTTGCGATGAAGTGGATTGGGTGTGTTATGGTTGAGCAATTTGTGTAAATTTCAGTATTTGTCGTGCCTATGCAGTACAATCACCAGCTATTGACTTGAAGAAGATGTGCCAGTCGCTCTAAAGTCTCCTTCACAAGCAGTTTCTCCATTGTTTTTCAAGAATCTAATGCAAGACTGCCTAACTTTCAACCATCATATTTTAGTAGGCTCTCTTTCGCAAGGGAACTTCTGTTGTGCCCGGATTACTGTATGAAACAGCGCGAGTATTATTACGATTACACAACAGAGGAAGGAACTTGGTCGCACCTACCATTCTGATATATCGGATGGGATCGCCTTAATTTGATGGATAGATTGAATTTGAATAACAGGTAGGTACGATGGAAGCTAAAAGCTTAGTTTTGTACTCCTTCACTAAAGTCGAGGGTCCTTCTCTGTGAGATTAATTCTTTCTCTTTTTTCCTACAACTACAAAAATCTCTCGTCGACAACAATTCCATTTTCAGCAAGTTCTCATTTTCTTCCAATCCTTCAAATACAATTCATGTTCTTTACAGTAACCGTACATTCTCTGTCACTTCATCTTGATATTTCCCCGCCAATACCTTCCTTTCACTTCATTGTCCCTTTCAATTCGCAAAATCATACAAAATTTCCACAGCGATCATTCATTTCATTTAACCATATCCGCACCTCCAGTGTACTATAACGAATTACCAAGACACATACACAAACAATGGCTACACCCGCTGCACTGGCAGATTCTGCCGGTAATTCTCAGGCCGACGCCGAGAATCCTATTGCAATGGCGTCTGCATATGTTCAACCTCAGCATAAGAAATTTCACGATTCTTCAGTCACTTTTGAGGAATATCATTACTATGCAGGCCTCGCACGCGCAGAAGAGGATGCTAGTACTGATAATGATATTGGCGATACCACTTTGTTCTCTCTTATTGTTCCACCCAAGAATTTAAAGGGTCAAGCTCCGGTCAATTCTGCACCTGTGGCGGAGAAGTCGAATGAGGGAACTGCTGAGAATGGAGCTGAGAAGATAGCTACTGAGAGAAATGTACATGATATGTCCCATGGTGATCGCTCGACGATTACGAATGATGAGTGGACAAATGCTAGTAGGGCTTTGAGAACGGCTACTTGGTCTTCAGTTTTTTATCTGATTACCACAGATATTTTGGGTCCTTTTGGCGTTCCGTAAGTGATTGAATGGCTGCTCCTTTGCTGAACAATCAGCTAATACTTTACTTGCTAGTTTTGCCTTGGGAACTTTAGGCTGGGGACCTGGTATCGCACTTTATACTGTATTTGGAGGATTGGCTGTGTAGTAAGATGTGTTTGATATCTGTACTTGAACCACACACTAACAAATACTAGTGGTGGATTCCTTTTATACTACATGTTCCTCGGACTTGATTCCCATCAATATCCATTGAGAACGTATGGAGATATTGCTTTCCGAGTCTATGGAGCACCTGTTCGACATGCAGTCAACATTCTTCAATCTATCCAACTCCTCTTCAATGTCGGCGTGATTGTTGTTGGCAATGGGCAGGTGAGCATTTCTCTACTTGATGGAATTTTTACTATTTTTTTCCTCATTCTAACATAATCGTAGGCACTTTCTCAAGTCTCAAAATTCAAACTGTGCTACGCAATCTGCTGTCTTGTATTTGCGCTTGCTGGCTTTTTCCTTGGTCAAGTTCGCACTTTACAAAAGTTTGGCTGGTTAGCCAACGCCGCCATCTGGATGAACGTTTTCATCATATTGTGTTCGATGGTTGTCATTTCACATAGTGCGCCAAATTACTTAGCTGTAGATGCGGCTGCTGGAACTGCACTTGGTGGTGTACTCGTCACCCCAGATGATGCTGGCAACTTTCCACCCGTCACAACATTTGGCCATCTCCCTCCCTCAACAGCTGGTTTCACTGGTGCCGTGAATGGACTCATGCAAGCCGTTTACGCATATGGAGGAGCTATGTTATTCACAGAATTCATGTCGGAGATGCGTAAGCCCCGTGACTTTTGGAAGGGTATGATTTGTGCTCAAGCATTCATCTATATTCTGTACATGATCTACGGATGCTTCATCTATGGATATCAAGGTCAATATGCTGTCAATCCTTCCTTTCAAGGTGTATCCCCTTATGCGTGGCAAACTGTCAACAACATTATTGCGTTCATGTCAGCTCTTATTGCAGCTGGCTTTATACGGTAATATCGGTATCAAAGTCCTATATAATAACGTATTAATGGATTTCTTTGGTGCACCACCTCTCAGCTCACATAGAGGGAAATTACTTTGGATGAGCATTGTTCCAGTTTATTGGTCAATCGCTTATATTGTTTCTGCCGCCATACCAAATTTCTTCGGTCTCTCGTCCCTTGTCGCAGCCCTCTGCATTCTACAATTCACCTACACATTTCCGCCTTTTCTTTACTTAGGCTACTGCATCCGAGTTGATGCAATTCTCGACACTGAAGGTTTCAATCCCGCCACCGGTCAAGTCACTCTCACAGACACTGGATTTAAAAGAATCCTGCGTGGTTTCAAGAAGAGATTTGTCTTGAACATCTGGAATATCATTTACTTCTGTGGGGCATTGCTTACGGCTGCTTTAGGTGCGTATAGTGCTATTGAAGCATTGATTGCGGCGTTTAAGGAGCCTAAAATCACGGCTTTTACGTGCAGAAGCCCGGTGAATGCTGGATAGGGGCAGTTGAAGCAGAGAGAATTTTGATTTCTCTTAGAAGATTGAGAATTCAAATGCCGGATTATGCTTGGGAATCATACAATATTTGAAGTGGTCCAATGGACGAGAGGAAATCGAAAATCCGCCTAGCTAACTAAGAGACGTATCTTGGGGTAGTTTTGGTTCGCTGTTTGTAGTGTTATGAGTGAGGCGGATTGCTAATTATGTATGGGAGATATGTTACATATTGCTAGCGAAGAGTGGGAGAAATTTCAAAGGAATGTCTATATACTTCATAGGTACTTTGTTTGCTTAAACAGACAATACCTAGGTACCCAATGGAAATAATGGGGAGATTGATATCAACACACTTGTATCAAAATATCTTAGCTATACAAATAAATGTATTTTGAGATACAAGAACATGTCTAACAAGTATGATAGATATCTTTGAAACTTTTAAGATTAAATACGTAAATACAAACTATGGAAATGATTATAGAATTATAGGTATGCAGATGATAAACGGGAAGAAGATGGAATTCGAGAGTATTTGAGATCGTGAGCAATAGCTAGTAATGGGTATGATTTCTAGATGTAGGTAGAGAGTAGATAGAGTAGTGGTGTGATACTGTCACAGTAATAGTAGTAGTAGTTGTTGTAGTAATAAATATCTAGCCCTAGAATTTGAGACTCTAGAGTCTGGATTAGTTGCCTATCGTATTCGCTCTAAAACATTTCAGTTACATATTAGATCTAATATGCAGAGTTCAATATTGTATTCGGTAAACACAATCTTAGGCCTGATGCATCTAATATATTAGCTCTCATATCGAAAAAAGTCGATTCGAAAGCCGCCATTTTTTTATCTACTTATCCACTACTCCTCGTCCTCACGCCTCCCCAGCAGCCACCTTTTTATGTCCCTTCGTCAAACCCTCTCTCTCCGCCTCCTCATCCACAATAAACGGAATCTCCTCTTTCAAACTCCTGCCCGTAGGATTCCACCCCAAATACTTCCTCGCTCTCTTTGCAAATCCTTTTGAATTCAAACCCCAGGAGATCGCTTCAAATCCTGCTAGTTCCTTGGCTTCATCCACATCCATCGCGGCTACTTCTTTCGTCTTGATGAGACCTTTTGCGAATGCGTCGGCGCCGACTTGTGCGGAGATTTCGCCCCAGACGTGGTGACCGTTTTCGGCGAGGAAATAGCCCTTCTCGTTCCAGATTTCCACGTCGTCGGAAGATTGGGCGTTGGAGAGTGCGCGCTCGGCCAGCCGGAGGAAGAGCGCGCTGAGATCGTGCACGTGGATGTTATCCCACTCTGTGAGACCCTTGCCGAGTTGGGGGGCCTGGCCCTTTTGCAGGGTGATGCGGACGAGGTTGTAGACTTGTCTGCTGCGTTGGTTGCCGGGGCCGCGGCCGTGACCGTAGATGGTCGGGGGACAGACGATGGCGGTTTTGAGGGAGGGGGAGCCCGCGGAGAGGACGAGCTTGTCGATGGCCCGGTGGAAGGCCGAGTCGGGGAGGCTGGTGAGTTGGGAGACGCCGGAGAGATCGTCGTAGGGGGGTTGGGAGGGGGCTTCGCCGTAGGTTTGCGTTTCCATGTCTTTCCAGCAGAGGATGCCGGTGCCGGAGAGGTGCAGCCAGTAGCCTGGGTTGGAGGGGGAGTGACCTTTTGCGAGTCCGGTGGCGATGGCTTTTGCAGCTATTTCGTGGTCAGAGGAGTCGGCTGTGTCTGTTTGTGTGGGTTTTTGTTAGTGTTTTTTCTTGGTTCGGTTTAGAGGAGATGGGATGAGATAGGATAGGATGGGGGTTGGTTCTATTTCATATCATATAGAAAAGAATAGAATAGGATAGGATAGGATAGGATAGAATTTAAAAAGACCACCAAAAACATACGTAAAACTACATCCGCCTTTGCAGCTTCCTCTTCAAGAATCGATGCATCTTCCAAAGTACCATATACTAAATGGACTTTTGGAAAGGCAGCGGCGACAGGAGCACCTCGATCAGAGTTGCGGACGAGCGCTGTGAATTCCCAGTCTGGATGGGCGTTGTAGAGTGTGTAGAGGGTATCGCCTCCGGTGTAGCCTGTGGTTCCTGTGCTTTTTGAGGGGTGAGTTTGGGGGTTTGTATTGGCGGTGGTGGGAGGGGAGGGGAGGGGAGGGGATGGGAGAGAGGATGGATAACTTACATGAATATTTTGGGCGTCATTGTTTTTTGTCGAGTCGATTTGCTGTGGGATTATTTTGTTGGATTGTAAACGAGAAGTTCAATGTAATTAATGTCAAGATCAGAAATCCAACGGAAGAATGATGTCTGAAAAGTCATTGGGGAATGTATAAATATTGAGCTCTTCGGTCCCGTCATTGAAAATATTATGGGGTCGTAATGACGTAAGATACTTTTGATATTTATAAGCAAGCAATCGAGGGGTAATATTGAAATTGTCCATGTTTTGTCGATGTTTTCGATGTTTTCGATGTTTCTCTTAAAGATTTATCCATCGATTTTCATTAGCCAGGTATGAAGTGTGATTGCGTGTTACTAGCTCTATGCAATTTGATAGTACTACCTACTACCAGCTTTGTATGTAAGAGAGGTTGACCTTCTCTCGTGAACCTCTCTTTTCATTCATTGTTACTGACAGATGAATGTTTTTACCAATTTTGTTTAGTAAAGGAATGATTTTGTTGTCGATTTGAAGGCTGTAGATATACCTATTACCTACTAGGCATCTTGGTAACTTTGTCTGCTTTGGTTTGTCTGCTTTTATTTGCAATGTTGATTGAATCCTACGCTCGTAGATGACCAATTGTAGTTGTGACAGGATTTCAACTTGAGATCCTCGAGATAAGTCAAGGTGGTGTTTGGATGGATCTCTTGAGTATTTTAAATTAAGTAAAGATACTGTTTGAGACGAGGAAAAGTAGTATTTGAATAGGTATCTCGAGTATCTCGAGATAAGTAAAGATATTGTTTGAATAAATACTTTGAATATCTCGAGATAAGTAAAAAATACTGTTGGGAATAGATATCTTGAGTATTTCGAATTAACGAAAGGGACTATTTGATTAGATATCTTGAGTATCTCCAATTAACTAAAAGTAAGATCTTATTATTTGAATCGATATCTCAAGTACCTCATAATAACTAAAGGTGTGATTTCAATAGATATCTTAAGTACCTTGATGAATAAAAATACCGTTGGAAAGATATCCTGAGTATCTCGAAATACCTAACTAGAGATATTGTTTGAATAAAATACCTACCTCAAAAACCTTGATATAAATAAAAAATACCGTTGGAAAGATATCTCGAGTATCTCGAAATACCTAGGTAGCTGGAGATATCTCAAGTACCTCGCAATACTCAAGATATGATTTCAATAGATACTTTCAATACCTAGATAGCTATCGTAGACATATTTGTACTTTCCTATCCCAGAGATCTCTCTTCGATCTATAAGAGTATAAAAGTATAAGAATATAAGTATAAAAAAGACACCAGCTTGAGCCATCAGAACTCCAAAATCAGAATGGAGATGGAATCTAACGACTATTCAATATGGTCTTTGGGTAAATATACCATGGTAATTAATCTAGGGAGGTCGAGTGGATTAGAAGACATCTCAAGTAACCAAAGCGATAATAATTAAAACCCCCCAAATTGTGTGAAGGTCACATTACCTTTGATTCCATGTTGTACTCTCAAAGGTTGTTTGACTGTTTGACTGTTTGGCTGACCGCCGCAGAAATAAGAAGCTCACCGATTATCTGGAACCTCTTACTTCCCTCGCCCCTCGCTCCATCCCTCCATCCCTCCCTCCTTGGCAAATTGGCGGTGGGTAGTTGGAAGGGGCGAAGCTTGGATTTCTAGGTAATATGCAATGCGATAAGGTCTGGCCGTGACGAGAGAGAGAGAGAGAGAGAGAATTAAATTGACGCATCTCATCTTTTTCATCTACCATGTGCATTGGTTGGTAAACAATCATTCTTTCGAATATGGATTTGCTTCAGAATCCATTCCATTCCGATATTAAAATTGATTGGATCCCACTCAAATTCTTGGTATCGGAATACCTCAAACATCCAACATGTACTCGGTATCTACGGAGTCAGAACTACATCTACAAACCTCCTCCCTCCCTCCACTCCATTACCAATCATTTCCATAAGCAACTTCACACTCGGGTAAAGGATATCAACAGATCTTCCTCTCTTGGCTCCTTTTTCCGGTCCGACTCGCTCGCACGATGAAACTTTATGAGAAGCCATCCAGCCCCAATCAATCCAACTTCTGCCAGTCAAACCGACACCGGTCACTCCTACTAACCTCGAGCTACCTTTCATCAGGACCAAACCAACTGCACCCACCTCTCAATCAACCACGACCGCCATCTATTATAAGATGGGAGATGTCAGATGTAACATGACTCGGTCTCTACCTACCAACCTAGTTAATTGATTGACCTTACTCTTAACCACCTGGCTGCTAATTATCCCAATGTCCATCCATCCATCCATCTATCCATCCATCTTCCCTACCATGTTCATGTTTCATCTTTCAACCTCCCTCCCTCCCCCTCCCCGCCCCCGGATAATCATCCTCATACAACATATTAATTTTCAATCTTCATCATCCCATCCTTCACAGGTAATGATTCTCCATTCAGAAATAAATCATCATCAAGCAAGGATTCATCAATATAAGCTTAAATTCTTCAATCATATTCCATCTTTGGACCAACATTTTAATCATTTTAATCATTTTAATCATTTCAATCATTTTTAGGTAAAGACATTCCGTAACATAACCAACAATCAATCCAAATAACCACACCACAACCGCAGCCTCAACCTCACTCATCCCCAAGTATCCATTCACCAAATCTAATAGCCTCATTGCCAAGTGACTGATTCCCCGCCCTTCATCTATTAAACATTCACATACATAAGGTACATATAGTCATTCATAATTCTTTCCCTCAAGATGGGGGTATTACTCAGTCTTGGAATTCAGCAAATTTCTTTTCTTTCGACTTTCTCTTCCACTTCCTCTTCGATTTTCTCTTCTTCTATTTCCTCTTCCATTCCCTCCATCTTCTTCTTCAGTACACATTGCCTGAAACAAACATACACATATTTCATCATGCGTTTCCATCCCAGAGATGTCTTTGTTAATGGTACTATTACCGCAAATCTATTCGTTTCCTCTTACATTGGTACCATCAGTACCTTGCAATTATCCAGATCGTTAAATGGTTCATATTCGCTCAATACTTTGTCCGTCAATAATGTGACAACAGATAATCCTTCGTGGTTGCATAAAGATCCCAAAAATGGTATCTTGTATTGTTTAAACGAAGGTTTAAGTGTCACCAATGGAAGCATCTCCAGCTTCACCGTTGCTGATGATGGCACGTTGACTTTATTGGGAAATGGTTTGACCATCAGTGGTCCTGTTAGTTCGGTTCTTTTCAATGAAGGAAAAACCATGGCCGCTGCTCATTAGTACGTTTGCTATCTTTATCTACCTTCAGATTTTCCAACAACCCAAATCAATACATCATACTGACAAACAACAGCAATGGTGCCTCTCTCACCACCCACAATATCCAAGCAGACGGAACGCTCTCCCCCCTCCAAACCATCACCTTCACCATGCCCGGCCCGGGACCCGATCCCCTCAAGAGACAACTCACCCCGCATCCCCACGAAGCACTCCTGGACCCATCCGAGAAATACATCATCGTCCCCGATCTCGGCGCCGATCTCGTCCGCGTCTTCTCCATCGATCCCGCCACCGCTCTCCTCACAGAACTCACTCCCTACACGGCTCCTCCGGCTAGTGGTCCCCGTCATGGTGTCTTTCACGTGACGGATTCTGGTGATACTTACTTCTATCTGGTTTCGGAATTGGCGAATACAGTGTCGAGTTTCAAGGTGACGTATGGAGAGGGCTCGGAGGGATTGACTTTTACCAATATTGATAGTCATGGTATTTATGGTGACAAAAAGACACCTGAGGGAGCGGCCGCTGCGGAATGTCTTTTGACTGTAAGTTTTTTTTATACGTTTTTTTAAGTTTTCATCAGCCTTTATTCAAAAAGAGATAAAAATATCCAATAAAATTTCGAGTACACACTAACATCCCCAGCCCGACGGAAAACACATCCTCACCTCCTCCCGCAACGCCACCATTCTCTCTCTCCCTCAACCCCCCGCCCACCCCCTCAACAGCACCGCTCTCCCCTCCGACACCCTCCAAACCTGGAGTATCAACACCGCCTCCAATGGTACTTATGGCAGTCTCTCTTTCTCGCAACTCTTTCCTTCAGGCGGCATCTACCCGCGTCAAATGTCGATGAATAAAGCTGGAACGCTTGTAGCTGTCGCGCTACAACAGAGCGCTAGAGTCGTAATTGTAAAGCGTGATGTGAAGACGGGATTGTTTGGAGACTTTGTGGCGGATGTGCAAGTGGGTGATTTTGAGGGGGTGGCGGGCTTGAATGGTCAGGTTACGAGTGTGGTTTGGGATGAGGTGGAGGAGATTTTTTAGGTTGGGTTTGGGGTTTAGATGGATTGGGTGGAGAGGGTCGAGAGAGTGGGGGATTTGAGCAGAAGATGAGAGTTAGGTGATGTGATGTTCATACCGGTTTTTGAATATTCATCATTTACTACTCATTCCTATTGAGGATGAAGAGAGAGCAGGAAGTTCAATTCTTTTATTGATGATACCATACAAACCATTAGCGACGAAATATCAACGAATAAACGAGTAGAGATACCCATTTATTCATGTACATATATTACCTTACATACATTACATAGATACATAGATCCATACATTCAGTTTTCGAGCTATGAGTTATCTAGATATATTCATACATTCATACATAGGTACATACATACATAACCTACCACTCAGCATAAACATCTAACCACACTCGAAACCTGCCATAAGAACAAAAGATGCTACATTTTTCCTCTCTAATCACTAAAGAGAAATCAAGTAAGTTAGTTCAACAACAAAAAAGGGTTTTATCCTTGCGAATCAGTAATTGACTCGTTAGACCTCGGGAAGCCTTTTGATAATGTATCTCATTTGTATTAGGAGATGATCGATCGGTAAAAGGTTAAGTTAGTATCACACCATTATTTAACAGGACCTCATACTATTCCTATCACTCCGAGCTTGCTCTTTGGCTATCCCCAAGGCTTACTTACAGCTTGCATTCTCGATGTTGTTTATGAGGAGTTGTATTTAATGATACTGATCACGAGACTTGAAAGCATCATTGCATAAGGAGAAGTAGAGACCGCTTGATGATTGATTGATTTCTCGCAAAAGATTTATTGTTTGTAATTATGGCTCCCAGATCTATACAATCTCAATTATAATCTTTCTGATATACTTCTGGTCCCACGCGTATTGGTAGGCCCTGTAACACGTCAGTTCTTCGCTGTACAGCAGTTACATCTCGCACTCGTCGGGGAACAGAGGTGTAGCTGGATATCGTAACGAAAGGAAAGGAAACTGGAGAGGGGACCTACTCTTTCAAATTATCAAGCTTGAAGATCTTCGTGTCGATGACTGGCTTGATGTCGTTTGTTTTGATAGCGCGGTTCATGTCCACCAGGTATACTCATGAAGAGCGTGCGGATACATTGCAGGCACAACTTTCAGGTCAAGCATCGGCAAAGACCAAGTCCAACAAGGCTGTTGCTCCAAGTACCCTGTTCACTGCAACTCTACATGCAGTTTCCCGTCGTTCCCAAGGAAGAGATCTCTCTTCTTTAGAGAGACAATTGGTCGATGCACTGGAAGTCTATGCAAATCCAAGTGAGATGATCAAGTATGGAGAGATTTATAGAGAAAATAAAGCCACAGCGCTCTCCCTGGGCAATACCATTTTCTCAGCCTCAGTTCTCGAGATGGATGAATCAACACCTTATACTGACGAAGATTTGATTCGCGATGCACGTGCAGCATTACCAGAGATTCTCGCAAACCCTGCTAACTCGATTGTGGATATTTCTTCTGTTGCTGACGGCTACTATGTCGAAAGAAAGTATGCCAACGACGACGATGGTACCACCCCCGTTGGTGGCTCTGGCGGAGGAGTGACGGTTTTTACCTCTGGGCCAGAGGAAGAGAAATACGAACCAAAGGAAATAACGGCAGAGAATCTCGACGCAAGAGCTATTGAATTGACTAGCACGACTAATCTTTACCAAATCTCCATGAATCGTTTCAAGTGTCTCCAGGCCCAAAGTGATTCTGTTTTTGGGTCTAGAAACGAAATCTTTTGGGCGATAGCATCAGGGGCAGATAGTGGAGCCCAAAAGTCTTTCAAGACTGGGGAGTATGGTTCCGTTTCCACTGGAACTCAAGTCCCGTTTTCGGGGGTCGACTTTTTCATCGGAGATATACAAAACCATCTTGCTGGTCACATTGAATGTTGGGAGGCAGATGATAGTTCAAGCAACTGGTATGACGAAATGAACAAAGCCTTGAAAAGCATGGCAGGATTCGCAAGTACGAACTTTGCTACTTGTAATTACTAAGATTACAACAAACATGACAAGGCAGCATGGAATATCCTTTCGCTCCTTTCCAAACTCGGTTCTTCAATCAACAAATGCCAACCTCTCAAAATCCGACAGTTGATGCTGCAGTTAACGCTGCCGAGGCCGACGATTGGGGTGATGCAACTGGTGGTACGGGAACTGGCGCAGCTAGTATGATATTTGATTTCCATATCTCCTGGTCCGAAACAAGGACTTGAGTGAAATACTAGGTTATTTCACGCTTTCCAAATTAGTTTTTTGAAGCGTTCTACTCTTTCTCCTTCTCCAACTTTGAAAACGATCCACTAATTTCCCAATCTTTCATAGTATTGGCTCTCACTGCCCTCTTTGCAACACTCTTGGGTGACCTTACTATGTTTATCAAGAACGACGACGACTTTATTCAGAAACACGATATTGCTTTTACTAAAGCCGCATTGGATAGTATCATATCGACGAAGCCCAACGGGGAACTATCATTGGTTTTTGATGGCGGTATTCAAGGCAAGCATGAGTAAGTACTTCCGAGAATTCAAAGATAGCTTCTCTATGCATTCATTATACATACACGAGTGATCAGATTCATTTCATCTTTGGTACAATCAAATTTTGCATTCTTCTTTAAAGCTACCGAATTCGAGATATACCAAAAGGGCCAATGGCACAATACAGTATTGACTCTTTAAAAATATAGACTTTGGCTCAGAGTATCCAAACCGCCTGGGTATGTATGTGGGTACGATACAGTGCTATAGATGGCAAAATGGAACCTGGTGGGCTCCCGTTCCCACCCCATCTGGCAACAGTCCTCACGGAATGTCCATTGCCGACTATCACGGGAATCTCGTCGGCGTCTTTCGCGAAAGTGGAAATGCCGTAAAATGGACCGTGTTGTCCGGAAGTACCTGGTCGATCCCCAAAGCCATGAACATCACATCCCTATCGCGTCCGGCACTGGCGACTCATGCTGACCGACTATGGTGCATGTATCGAGACACGAGCGACAAAATCCAATTGATCTCTACGGGCTCGGATTTGAACTCGTGGACGACACCAGCCCATATATCCCCCGGTGCGGTTACACCCGATGGTCCCGCACTCGCTTCCTACAAGGGCAAATTGCACTCGATTGTACGGGGGACTACCGATCGCGTGTATTGGAGCTGGTCTGACGCAAGCGGAGGCGGATGGGTTGGTTATCGAACATTCAACGGCGCGAGTATCACCGCTTCTCCCTCTCTCTGTGTCTATCAAGACCGTCTGCAGCTCGCTCTTCGCGGCAACAATAATGAACTGTACACGGCGAGTTCTGATGGCACCGGCTGGAGCGGTGTGGTTGGACAGCAGGGATCCTTGCAGTCGGGGCCTGCGCTAGCGGCGCATGATGGGAAGATGTTTGTTCTGTTGCGGGGACGAGAAATTTTGGTAAGAGTTCTGGCCCCTGCTCACCGCACATGTAACGCTTTTCCGGCTAAAATATAGGATTATTCAACTTTTTATACCCTAATTTATTTATTATAATAAATTATTATAATAAAAGATAAAATTAGAAATTCTTTTGAAAAATGTTATTTGACTAATCAAATCTTATAAAAAAATGAATAAAATATTTTTTTCTAATTTTTTAAACAGGATTTGAAGGAGTTAAAATTGAAAATCCTAAATTTTTATGAAAATTCGCTTATTTTGTATAAGAAAAACGTTACATATTAGAATTTTTGAAAAAAATCGATTTCAATACTATATAATTATTCAACAAAAATAGTGAAAAATACTTCAAATAATTTTTTATATTTTAATTACAAATATTTTTTATTCTCAATATTTTTGAAAAGAAAATATAAAAATTTAAATAAAATATTTAATACGAGGGCGTGTCTTTGATGAATGCCGGGCTGAAATTTAAGCGAATTTCCTCACCAAAACCATGCTTTATTCTATATATTTATAAATAGATAATAACTCAAATATTCATTATAGGACTTTGAAATTTGAAGTATATAAAGAGATTCAATTAATAATTCATTTGATATTAAAGTTATTGATTTTTGAATTGAATTGATAGAAGAATTCTATATAGAAATTTGATTCTTAAAATAAATATTATTTCTTATAGAAATTTTAATTTAATTGAAAACTTTAATAAAAAAAAACTAAAATTATATTATTAAATTTTAAATAAAAATTGGTTACTTTATAAAATTTCAAATATATAATAATATTGATTGATTTAATATTGAATTCTAAAATGGGTGAGTTTTGGTGTGAAAAAGTACTTGCGCACGGACCCGGCATTCATCAAAGACACGCCTTCGTATAATAATTTGTATAGAAAAACCTTATTTTTGCAGGGATTTTGTCACATTTGTCACGGGGGTGCGGTGAGCAGGGGCCAGAACTCTTACAAATATCAGAGTAGTTCTGGTGCTTGGAGTACCTAGCTACACATATTTGAGTAATTTGATGGCAGGTGACCTAGGGGCGTGCAGTTTCAATGGTCAGCTTTGGGCTTATTATGGGTGGAAGGGATGATGTTGTTGCACACGCTAAATTGCGCGAATGCTGGGGTTATTTCGTTTCTTGATATGGTAATGGGTTTCAACGATACGAGGATGGCCAAGGGACTTTAGGCTCTATGATCGAAAGAATCATAGGAGACCCCGTGGAGGGATTTCATTACGTATATAGCTACCAAATTCCATTGATTCTGCAATGAAACTGGAATCAGAAGAAGGATTTTGCGTGATAAAGTGTAATACTCTGGGAAGGTGTCACGGTGTCACATGTTCTACAATGCAATCTGGAATGCTACAGTGAAGAGGAGTGAAATATTTCTTTCCAATACCTAGATAGGGAGGAGGTAATTGGGTACCTACTATACTTACTACCCAAGTACCTACCTACCTATCTGTTTGCAAAACCAAACAACCAACCAAACAAACTCCACCAACTAATTTCATGTCAATCCACACCAAAAAAACACAGAAAAACTCCAATATCAATTATTCTAGAATCTAGAGTCTTTTTCCTCCCCTCCATTTTCCCATTCTTCCTTAAACCGCTTTCAGAATTATTCTAGCTAATCAGTACCCGTACTGCTTGAAGACATTTTCTGATCCATCCTCAACCCCATCCTATCCAACCCTATCCGATCATACAAATCGAATCCACCGCCTGCCATTCTTTCCAAGTATCTCTTCCCTAGTAATCCCTGGATAGACGAATCTACCAACTACCAATTCATCAAATCTGTTTATGCATTAGCCATCAAAATCATCTACTCCCTCTATCTCTATCTCTATCAAAACATACCTCTTCCGAAAAGTGTTCTCTTCGCCCAATCCATCGCCAACAAACACCTGGTTCTAAAGCTCACACTCTGCGCAAAATAGACACTTCTCCAAGCATATACCGCCCAGAGTCCTCCCGCAAAACTCCATCCTCCTCCAAGATCAAAGACGGCCGAATTTCCCACATAAGCCAAACTACCCAAATGATGATATTCAAAAGCTTTGTAGATAGCTTCGTCCAAATCTCCATCACGCATATCATTAACTCTCATTCCTGGTTCTGCTCTTGCAATTTTATTGAATTTGTGTCCTAGATATTGACCTTGTTGATGAGCTCTCTGGGCGGTGGCAGGAAGCGACGTAAGTTTACTATCGATTTGCATGAGGAGTGCTCTTAATTCGCCAAAATCGAGAGTACCGGATTGATCTTTATCAAACTCTTGGAAGAGTTTATCCACACGTTTAAGATGATCTGCAGCTTGAGGAAATCTCTTTCGGACTCTTTGTGCAACGTCTCGCCAATCGCGGAATGTGAGTTGGACTTTCTCAGGATCTTGTCCTTTTTCCCATGCGAGATTTCGGAGGAAAGTAACCAAGTGATCAGCAACACTGTTTTGGACAGTTGCGCAGTCACCAATTGCATAGACATCTCCTAATGGTGTACCATTTAGACGAAGATGTGTATCGGTCTCTAAAGCATGACGATTGGTTTGAGAGGAGCCAAGTGCTGCAGCAATTCTTTGACAAAATTGGGTTTGAGAAACACCTGTAGACCAAAGACAAAATCCCATGGGCAATTCTTTGATGACTGATTCACCATTCTCTCCCTTTTGCGTAAAGAGGATTTTATCTGGTCTGACTTCCTGAACTCTAGAATTGGTAAGGATATCCACCTGATCACGAGCGAATCTTTCCTCGGCGTATTTGGATACCGCTTCATCATATGTATTCAGAATATGTCCTCGACTCTGTATAACATGGACGGAGATCTCATTTCTGAGAATACGAGGAAAGTGTGCTGTGAGATCTTCATTCAAAAGATCGAACAATTCGGCAGCGAATTCTACTCCAGTAGGACCACCCCCACTAACAACAAAAGAAAGCAATCTCTTTCGTTCCTCATCAGTTGTTGTTGGTAAACATGCGTATTCCAAATTGGTCAAAATCGAATTTCGGATAGTTTGAGCATCATCAATGTCCTTCAAGAAATGACAATTTTCCAATCCCTTTACTCCGTGAGGATTTGATGTTGATCCAACTCCAATAACCAATTTATCATATGGTAAATAGAATCGAACTTCTTTACCATCTGGACTTTTCCCGGCCAATTCTACCAACTTTTCCGAAAACTCAATGTCTTCTGCCGTAGCTCTTATGAAATGACCTTTAACTCTCGTAATAATCCGTCGAATTGGTTCCACCAGAGATCGAAATTCCAATGTGCCTACCGTTGCAGAAGGTAACATAGGTGTGAAGAGAAAATAATTCGTGGGCGAAACTAAAGTGATATGATAGTCATCTGGGTTCAAAGTCTTCAACAATGCAACGCTTCCCCATCCGGCTCCAAGAATGACCAATTTTGGCTTATCTTTCTGCATTTGCATTTCCTCAGAATCATCATCGTCAATTTGAACTTCGGCAATGGGCAAATTCTTCGGACCTCCCAATCGTGGAGACAAAGCAAGCTCTGAGATTGAAATATCCGAGTAAGATAAATCTTCACGATATGTCGTGGCATCATAGACGAAGAAACCAATAACGCCAACTCCCAAGATTATTAACGAACCTCCCAGCAAAGCCGCAGATCGATATAGAAAGTTCAAAGCTTTTGAACTTCGTTGTGGTAAAGGTTTACCAGATACGAATCGAACATTTCGTGTTATGGTAAGTTTGCCCCATTTCGCCGGGTTTGTGATAGCTGTTAGAGGTCTTTTTGAACCCGTAGAGAACTTTTGACCCGGCAGAGAACTGAAGGATAGTGCAGATCGACTGAAAGAAGAATATGGCGATCTGCGAAGTAATAGAGAATGATTGCTGCCAATTCTCCCAAGAGATGAGGCGGGTTGACGTAGGAGCATACTTGTGTATGTCATTAAACTTGCTGGTGACAATTTCTTTACTAAATCAATAACTGAAGCTCATAATTCAATTGAACATTAGAAAGTAATGAATTAACAATCTGATATAAGAACTATTCTAGGGAAGTCGGTCTCGAGGCAAAAAAGAAGGTATTCGTATGGATGAATTTCTAGGTGTATGAAGCTTTTGCCAAGTTGTAGGGGAACGAGATTCTGGGCTTCTCTTTTTCCCTGACGTACTCATTTCACTCCTCCCCACCATCGCCTATCACCTTCAGTCCGTCCCTCCCGCTCACGGGTATCTCGGAGAATAGTCCCCACTAGATGCCGTAAAGATGGACGAAATTTTCTTGTTATACTTCGAATGTAGAATAGAATGTGCAAGTGGGAGTAGGTAACGATGATTATGAAGGATCAAAAACTGTTCTTTATTTTACTTCAAAGGGCTTCTTAATCGAGAAATGTCTATTGTAATAAGTAGGTAGGCATTGCTTCTGTCAATGAATGAATGAAATACACAATTTGGGATAGCACAAAGTTTACAAGAAGTATTATATGCATAGTAAATTATCAAATGAACTTTATATTAATTGAATCCGGTATCCGGATTCCTTATGTACTGATAAATAATGATTATTCCTACCGTTAAACGCCAATTCCATCCTATGACATTTGTGAAGAAGTTCTACCCGAAACAACTTCGAAAAGGGTATAATAATGTTGGCAAGAACCCAAGCGCCAAATATAACCAATTCAATACCCCACTCATGTCATCATCATTGCTTCATTCATTGTTTGTTGTGCATGGGATCCATCACCATGTATATTATCATGATCATGGTCATCATTATCGAGACCCAGCTCAATAAGAGGCGGTATTTCCTTTTTTGCATCCCGTGCAGTGTTCTCAGCCCAGGCACGTAGGCGGACAAGATCTCTAATGGCCGCATCTCGACGTTTATTCTGAGATTGTAGTATAGCTTTGTTAACTTTATCTGCGACGGACCTTCGAAGGTCAGGGTGTATTAAAGTAGCTAGCTTTGGCTCCAGGTTATCCGGCTGAAAGACTAGTAGAGCCATTGTCCTTTCAAGGTCTTCTAAAAAATCCGGATTGGTTGCAGCTCGAGGTGCAAGTTGAGTCCTGGCAAAATTTATGACAGGAGCGACGTCACTGCCTGAAGACCGAATGAGCTCAACCAGTTGTAGTCGCAAGAGTGAAAAATGGAGGGCTGGATTCTTTTCGAGAACCTTTGGGTAACGTTAGATAACAGTCAATAGGCATATAATAAAGAATGATGGTTGGGTTGAAAATTGCTCATACTGAGGACTGAAGTATGGTATTGTATCTCATCAACGACCCGAAGGCTATATGAGTGGTGCATGAACTTGTTTAATCATAGCAAGGAAATGATGAAGGAAACATTGAATAGTACTAACCTGAGGATCCAAATCATTTACTGCGTCGATAGCATCTTGTATGCTTCCCAGATGTATGGAATGCTGAATAGCTTGACGAGCTTTCACAAACTCTTCTGCTTGTTGTGGCTTAAGATTCGCTTCCTTAGAGAACCTTGCAGCTGCAGATGGATAACCTTCGGTTGTAAGATAATCTAATATTAAAGCATTGATGTCACTATTAATGAATATAAATGTTAGCTTGGCTGCATATTATCAATTAATATCAGGCTGGGCGACAGCCAAATTGGTAAGAGTGGCAGTATATCAGTTAACAACTAATTTGTTCTCCGCATGCGTAATTTTTAGGAGAGATTCCCAGTTGATGATAGTCATCATATAAAGTTTGCCAATGATGGAGCTTCAATGAAGCAACGAGTTATGAAAGAAAAATGTATTGCCTACCTCTTTATTGGTTTTACATTGTCGACACGCTTTTCGAATGCAGTATGTGAAAGTGGACTCTCAAATGTGTTAAGTCTTGAGGGTGTTGCTGTAGCTGTTGAAGAAGCCTATCGTTTGAATTGAGTCAGCTACTGGTTGGTATCCACAAAGCTATCAAGAGTATTTCTTTACTTACCATTCTTACAACACAAAAAATTATCTCTTGTCCATAAAGAGGTAGAAAACAATTGTAAGTGGTCTTGAAGTGTCCAGCACTGATACAATTATAAGTTTTTATTGGTGTGAATAAAGAGAAGATGATGGTTGGTAAAGAAAAAATGAGGTTATTGGAAGAATAGAAAGGAAAGGAAAGCTTTGATTTGAGATTTCAAGTAGAAGTAGGAGCTTGCTCCAGAGTCTAAACCCTTATAGGCTAAGTTTCAGATGACTTTACGTAACTGAGCACGTGATCTATAAAAAAGACGACCGCAACCCCTCCTGCGCAAAAAATGTAATGACTTATTAAAGTGTCCACGGATACATAGGTAGAATTGCTTCTGTATATATTGTGCTGCCGTACTCAAATTGCTCACTCAGCTAGTCTTATATTCTTTTTCTTTTATTAACATGGATTGCTGAAATCTCCAGATATCTAGAACTGCATAACATAATCATCATTTTTCCCCCGATTTTCACAATGGCTGTATGTGTGAAGGAACAAGCTCACTACTCTCCTCCATGGGCTGGAGTTAGCATCATAGGCATAGCTGGAAGTTCTGGATCGGGAAAATCCACTTTGTCTCATGCCATTATCTCTCAAATGAACTTGCCATGGGTTTGCATTCTCAGCATGGTAATTCCGTTTTTCCTCATTCCTATATCAATCGACCCATTAATGATTATGAAAAAAAGGATTCGTTTTATAAGTCATTAGACGCGGAAGGGTCACGAAAAGCATTTTTGAATGAATATGACTTTGATTCACCGGATGCAATAGATTTCGATAGACTAGTCGAGATATTGCAAGACCTGAAAGCAGGGTAAGTGTTATCTAAGCTGCTACATTTTGAGAGGAGCGAATGATATGTATATTTTCTACTGTATACATTGTCATATAATTAATTTTGTTGTTTAGAAAGAGAGCTGAGATCCCGATCTATTCATTCGCAAAGCATGCTCGAGAGAAGGAGACTACATCAATATATTCACCACATGTACTCATATTGGAGGGTATCTTTGCATTATACGATCCTCGAGTTCTTAAATTGCTAGATATGAAGGTGACTTTCTTCTTCATTCAGAGAAGGAGTTGAATTTAGGGAGGACTAACTTGTCTTAGGTATTCTGTCAAGCAGATGGAGATACCTGTTTATCCCGAAGAAGTATGATTTCTCCTCTATATGCAAAATGCATTTCAACCAGCTAAATGATAAGATCTAATTGCTTAACTATGACTCAACTGATTTGATTCGCTAGTCCTTAGAGATGTCGCAGAAAGAGGTAGAGATATTGAAGGTGTTATAAAGCAATGGTTTGGGTTTGTGAAGCCAAACTTCCAACGATATGTAGAGCCTCAGGGAGAAATTGCCGGTAAGTTCTCATATAATATACCAAAAGATGAGCTTTAACGTTGATGTGTGGCTCCATCAAGTTTCACGACAGATGCCTAATCCTTTGAACAGATATTATTGTGCCACGAGGTGTAGAAAATCGAGTTGCTATCAGTGAGTTCCACTTCCACTTCATGAATCCTCCACTTTATTAATTTCAGATAGATATGGTCGTACAATACATCCAACGAACATTAAAGGAAAAATCAATAGCACACATTGTGGCCTTGAAGAAATTGGGTTTGGGTGCTGAGGATGAGCCTCTATCTAAATCAGTTCTTCTTTTGGAGCAAACACCTCAATTCAAAGGGATGAATACGATCATCCAAGATATAGGAACTCCAGCAGAAGATTTTGTTTTCTACTTTGACCGGATTGCTACTTTACTCGTTGAACAGTACGTTATCATTGTGTTGTTTCAAAGTTTTGATTTTTTGGTCTGATTTCTAACAAGTTGTAGTGCTATGAACAATATATTCTTCACAGAAAAGACTGTTGAGACACCGATCGGCAACAAGTACCATGGTTTAATAGCTACGGGCGAAGTTAGTGCAGTTGTTGTCCTTCGGGCCGGAGGAGCTCTGGAAACTGGCTTAAAGCGGGTCATCCCGGATTGCAAGACTGGAAGGCTACTGATCCAATCGAATATCCGAACGGGTGAACCAGAATTACATTTCTTAAATTTACCGGACAATATCAACAAACATGATAGTGTCTTGTTACTTGATCCACAAATGTCAAGTGGGGGAGCTGCACTTATGTCTGTCCAAATTCTCGTCGATCATGGAGTACCACCCGAGAAGATTGTATTTGTGACTTACACTGCAGGGAAAATGGGATTAAACCGACTTACAAAGGTCTTCCCTGAGGTTAAAGTTGTGGTATGCACGATAATTCAGGACTACGAGGAGAGGTGGATCGAAAAGAGGTATTTTGGATGTTGATCATGACGAGATGGTTGGTAATAGCCTGGTTTGATGGATAGATCAGCGACACTCTAGTAAGTAGTATATACATATATATATTCATAACAGGATATTGTTCCAAGACTTTAGTTTTGACCTGTTGATTAAATGAACCAATGGTATACTACTATCAAATATTTTAATACCAATTTAAACAAAGCTTCAGGTACCAAGTAGACGTCGGTACTCGAAAAAAGTTTATTTCCTAACGGTTTTCCATTTCGGGACTGGTATATAGTTTACCCTTTCTTGATATCCAAAACCCCACAATATCAATTTGAGCGATATTTTGGAATCTAGACAACCAGTGAACGAAAAGAATAAATAGTAAACACTGTCGGATGGTTCCATAGATCGATTTCTCTTCCTTTCCATTACATTCTACAGTACTTCCTATGAATCATCATCCATCCAGTCTTGGTATCCTGCCAAAACTTTCCTTTCCGTACGCTCAAGTCTAAAATATACCAATGGCTAGGATTTCATCATCACTATCTATTCTTTGAGCTATAGTCTGAATGCTATGACACTATCTATTTCCTTAAATCACAATGCAGTTCCCGATTATTTCCCCTCTTTTGCTTTCTAGAAACATGAGTTTGTATTCAATGACCCAAATTGTTGATACAGGCTGAAGCAGAGTGTTCGGTAGTGCGAACTACAGTTCAACAGTCAAAACCTTTGGAGCATTCAAACGCTTTTGAACATTGAAACATATTTATTTATTGAGGTTATTTCAAAAATTGAGACTATTTCAGTTACTAAGTCATCCAAACATTGAAATCATTTCAGACATTGAAGTCATGTCAGATATCGAAATTGGTACAATTGTCAAATCCATTTGAAATCATAATTGATAGGAATATTCTCAGAATACTAAAATTATGATAAGAAATTGGATGACACTACAGACTATTGGGACTATGGATTCGAGGGGGCTGCTATGCTTTTGAGCTTATGTTTCCTCATGTATAGTAAATAACAACCTTGATATCTAGATCCACCAAAGGTTAACAAACCAAACCACATATTAGTCTCTCAAATTTCTTCTTGGTATCTTATAATTGACGTATAGTGTGTCATAGTCAAAGGAAATCAAGAAAATGGTTGATTGGAGAGTTACTAGTAAATCAAATTTGATCACCAGTGGAATTCTTTCTCATATAAGTCTATCCCTCTTAATTTCAAGCTCTTGTTCTTTTCTACTTCCTTACAATCTAGACCACAAAAGATTCGAAACTCATCTGGCCTACTCTCTCTTAATTACAAGCATCGATCAAGATGCGTTGCAAAGGCATTGCCGTCATCGCGGCTGCTGGACTTGCTTCCACTGCCAGTGCACACTTCGAAAAACCATCCATTTATCATCCTTCTTCAATCACCACAGGCAAATCAGTTTCGACCCACTCATCCAACCCACCTTCAGCTCATACATCTGGCTCAGATTCCATTCATTGGTCCCATGAAAGCCTTGGTGAAACTTCCGCTTTCCATTCGAGTGTGATTTCTGTTCCAGTTCACTCATCGAAGATTGCCCCCACAAGTTCGAGTGTCCATTCCAGTGTAGCTGCTGTTTCGAGCCATTCATCCAGCTTACCGTTGATTCACCCATACTTAGCTGCAACCCATTCATCCAATGTTGTTTCAGTCAAAAGCTCAACTCCTCATTCTAGTGAAGCTACTGCTCATTCATCAAAATTACCGTCAGTTCATTCGTCATTGGCTTCGAGTCACTCGTCCCACGAGGCCTCGACTCATCTATCAAATGTCACTCCTGTTGAAACTTCTACTGGTCATTCCGGTGTAGCTTCGATTCACTCCTCCTTAGCTTCTAGTCACTCATCGAAGATTTCCCCAATTGCAAGCTCGACTCACCATTCCGGCGAAGCTACCTTGTCAAGTCATTCATCAAGCTCACCATCGATTCATTCATCCGACGTGATTTCCATGCACTCTTCCTTGGCTTCAACTCATCTGTCTAACTTGGCTTCAATTCACTCATCCAAGACCGCTCACATCATAAGTTCCACTAGTCATTCTAGTAAGGATTCGACTCACACTTCCCTGGTTCATCATTCCAATACAGGCCATAGCAAAAGTTCTGCTGGCCATTCTAGTAAAGATTCGATTCACACTTCCTTAACTCGTCACTTCAATACAATCCACAGCAAGATTTCTGCTGCTCATTCTAGCAAAGCTTCAGTTCACACGTCACTGGCTTCCAGCAATCATTTTCATGCGATCCCTAGTTCAAGTTCTGCCGATCATTCCAGTAAAGCTCCAGTTCACACGCCCTTGCCTTCGAGTCATTCGAGTTTAACCTCAAGTCATCACTTCAACACAATCCACAGTATAAGTTCTGCTAGCCATTCTAGTAAAGCTCCGACTCAGACGTCTAAATATTCGAGTCATCACTCGGATGCTACTACTAAAAAGAACTCCATTGGTCACTCCAGTGTCACTCCGGTTCACAAGACTATACTTTCGAGTCACTTTCCAACTTAGCTTCAAGTCATCGCTCGGATGCTATTACTAGTAAACATACTGTTGGTTATTCCAACGTCGCTCCGATCCATACACCTTTGAGTTCCAGTCACTCAACCTCAACTTCGAGTCATCACTCTGATGCGAGCCATGTTTCACCTCCTAATCATTCTGGTTTATTCCCGGCTCACACGTCCTTGGCTTCGAGTCACTCGTCCTATGCAAAATCCATTGCAACTTCTCACCATTCTGGTGTAGCTTCGATTCACTCATCTCATACAGACTCTGTTACAACTTCGAGTCATTCCAGCATAGCCTCAGAACACTCATCTTATGCGGGTTCTATTGCGACTTCTAGTCATACCACTGTAGCTTCTGAACACTCAGCTCCCCACTCATCCCACTCGTCCCACTCGGCCTCCAGTTCCAGTGTTCATTCGGTGCATCCGTCTAATGTGGCCTCGGCTCATCATACCAATCTCGCTTCGAGCCATTCATCTCATATCGTCCATAGTACAACTTCCGTTATCCATTACGGTGCATCTCCGGTACCTCAATCTACCTCGACTTCCTCTCTTCATCCTAATACGGATTCTGCGCATTCATCTCAAAAAACCTCTGCTGTTCATTCTAGTGTAAATTCGGCTCATGTATCCAGCTTGGCCTCTTTTCATTCCAGTATATCTTCCGCGCATAAATCCAGCTTTACTTCCGTTTTGCACTCTAGCACAGCTTCTACGCATTCATCCAATCAAGCTTCTACTATTCATTCTAGTGTGGCTTCGATACATCCATCCAGCTCAACTTCCGCTTCACATTCTATTGTATCTTCAGTTCATTCCAGTTTAGCCTCGGTGCATTCATCCAGCCTAAACTCTGCTTCTCATTCTTCTGGACCATCGATTCATCCATCAAGCTTAGCTTCTGCTTCACATTCTAGTATGACTTTCGCTCATTCTAGTATACCTTCGGTTCATTCCAGTGGACTATCGGTTTATCCATGGAACTCAGCCTCTTTCCATTCTAGTATGACTGCTGCTAATTCTAGTATACATTCGGTTCATTCCAGTGAACATCCAGTTCATCCATCAAACACAGCTGCTTATCATTCCAGTGGACAGCCGGTTCATTCATCAACCGTGACTTCTCATCATTCCAGTGTGGTTTCTGTCCATTCTAGTGAAAAATTGGTACATCCATCAACCACTAGTGTTGCTTCAGTTCACTCTAGTAAACAGCCGGTTTATCCATCAAGCTCGAACTCTTTCCATTCTAGTATAGCTTCAGATCATTCCAGTGAAACATCGGTTCGTTCATCAAGCTCTGTGCTTCTTCATTATGGTGCACCTTCGGTTCATACCAGTGGACTATCAGTTCATTCCAGTGAGCCATCGGTTCATCCATCAGCCTTAACTTCCGCTGTTCATACCAATTCATCGAATTCGAGCTTGCCATCCAAAATGAGACCAGAGGAATCTTCTGTTCATTCATCCAGTCATATTCCTGTTAAAAACCTCCACTCCTCATTCTGTCACTTCGGACTTGCCCTCAAATACTATTCCAAAATACTCATCAATTGAAATTTCTAGCACACCAAGGGTTTCTTCTGCCATAACCTCAATCCCTACCCCAACTTCTACTCATTCATCTGATATTGCTATAGGACTTTCTTCGACTATAAAGTCATCGATTACTAACCCAGGTTACATTCACCCATCCAGCGTAGAATTACCACACACAACCCTGGCCTCCTCTCCATTATCCAGCTGGGTGCCAGCCGCCTCTTCCGCTCATGATTCCTCCACTCATGATTCCTCCACTCATGATTCCTCCACTCATGATTCCTCCACTCATGATTCATCCACTCATGGTTCCTCCGCTCATGGTTCCTCTACTCACGTTCCCTCTGCTCACGGTCCCTCTGCTTATAGTCCCTCCACTTCTGGTCCTTCTACTCCTGAATTCACTACACCGGGTACCAGTGTGTCAATGCCAGTCGACTCTGTATCAGCATGGTCATCAAGTCTCATGACTTCTCAAACCAGTTCCATCCCAATTTATGTCAAGCCACAAACTTCAAAGTCAAGTATTATTAATTATGGCCCTACCGAAACCGGGGGGTCCGTACCAAATAATGTTACCACACATGCCTCAGAATCTTCTACGATTTCCTCAATTGCTTTATCTAGTCAAAGCAGTACTGAATTTGTCGGATCCACAAAGACAAATGGATGGGCTCCTTATACATACTCCTCATCATCCAGCAAGACTACAAGTGAAACTGAGAAGGAGAAATCCAAAACTGCCTCTTCACCAAGTATTTCAGCATCCCATGGAGCCTATCAATATGGATCAATTACTTCCGAATCATATCCAACTGCTTCGGCCCAATCAACAGAAACCGATAGCACAGTCGCAGCTGGAATTTCTTCTACTTCATCGGACTCTTCGGTCTCCAAAATCCCTCATGTCTCAACCTTCTCATCGATTCCAATGCATTCTACTCCATCCTTTAATTCTTCGAAATCTAAATGGACTGATACTACAACTTCAATTGGAGCGTCTTCCACCCTATCGAGTGAAAGCTCGTCTGTTCTATCTGATTCTTCTACACTTGAAGTCTCTTCTGATGTCCCAACAACGACACAATCACACAGCCACCAGACCACCAACATTTCATCAACAAAACAAACAATCGATCACCAGACTACCGATGCTCTATCAAGTATTGTTCAATCACATAGTGACCAGACTACCCATGTCACATCAAGTCTTGTGGAATCACACAGTCACTGGACCACCCATATTCCGTCCACACAATCGTTCTATCACTATACTACCGATGTCCCATCAAGTGTTGTTGAACAACCATCCGTGACTCGAGGATATCAAACTGTATCGGTAACTTCAGCCGCTACCTCATCATTCACCAGTGGTAATACCTTCAAACCCGGTGAAACTCTATCCAGCTCTACTGGTGCAAGTTCTTCAAACACACATACTTTCCCAGTATCTGCCTCAACTGCTCCGTCATCCGTGTCATCATTCCCAGGATCAGCAGCTACCACTGTGCCCTCTTCTGGTTCAATCAGTGCATCTAGTCTTTTAGGATATGGAGCTGGAATTCCTTCTACGCTATCCACTTCTCTTGGTGGAGTTTCTCCAACCTCATCCAGCTCTTCTAATAGAATTACTCATACTCCAGTACTCTCACCTATTCATGAATTTCCACCTACTTCATCGACCCATAGAGGCCCATGTATAGCTAGTCACGGAGGTCCATGTGTCCCATTCATTCATGGAGGTCCATACACCTCCTTGGCACATAATAATACTTCAACACATGGTATCTCTTCAACGGATGTTATCTCTTCGATGACACACAGTGTAACTTCAGAACATGGCATTCATTCAACAATGCACAGTGTGTCTTCTGCAGATAGCATATCCTCCACACATTCTTCCGCACACAGTGCCTCTTGGACGCATAGTGCCTCTTCCACACATGGTACTCCTTGGATGCATAGTGTCCATCCGACGCACAGTACCTCCTCCAAGCATGATATCCATTCGACGCACATCCCTTCCGATCATGCTTCCACACATGGTATATCTTCCACATACATTGCCTCTTCGAAGCATGATATCCATTCGACGTATATTGCCTCTTCAAAGCATAATGTCCATTCGAAGTACAATGCGTCTTCCACACATACTTCCACCCACAGTATCGTTTCCACACATAGTATCTCTTCTACACATAACATCCCTTCGAAAACACACAGTGCCTCTTCCGCATATAGTACTCCTTGGATGCACAGTGTATATCCAACACACAGTACCTCCTCTAAGCACAATATCCATTCGACGCACAAGATCCCTTCCAATAATACTTCTACACATGGTATATCCTCCACACATATTGTCTCTTCTTCGGAGCATGATGTCCATTCCACGTACAGTACCTCTTCGACGTATAGCGCATCTTCCACACATGATGCCCCATGGAAGACACACGATGTCCCTTCCAATCATACTTCCACACATAGTGTACCTTCAACACACATTGCCTCTTCGGAGTATGATATCCATTCGACCTATGGTGCTTCTTCGAAACATTCTTCCACCCATAGTGTCTTTTCTACACATGATACCCCTTCAAAAACACACAGTGCCTCTTCCACACACATTACCCCTTCTATACACAATATCTCTTCGACGCATGATTCCACACATAGCGTATCCTCCACAAATGGTAACCCTGCTACACATACTTCAACGCACGACATCCATTCGACACACGATATTCCTTTGACGCACAGCATGTCTTCAACACATAAGATTTCTTCCGCTGAATCAACTTTATCTATACCTTCCTCATCTTCAACCCACGATATACCTGTTCCATCTACTCATAATAGTCCATGTATATCATCTGTCCATGGAGGTTCATGCAGCCCGTCAATTGTTACCGTTACTTCCACTCTATTAACCTCCTTTGGACCTTCCACTTCTTCTATACCTGAGATTTCACCCATACCATCTACCCATGGTAGTTCATGTATTCCACATATTCATGGAGACTCATGTACCGAATCTGTTCATGAAATTTCTTCTGCTCCATCAACTACACCTGTGCCTTCCACCTCCACTATCCACGAAGTACCACCCACTCCATCTGACCACGGTAGTTCGTGTATTCCACAAATTCACGGGGGCTCATGTACCAAATCTGTTCATGAGATCTCTTCTGCTCCATCAACTACATCTATGCCTTCCGCTTCCTCTAGCCACAAAGTACCACCCACTCCATCTGACTATGGTAGTTCATGTATTCCACATATCCATGGAGTTTTGTGCACTCAATCGATTCAAATTACTTCGACTTTATCCAAACCTTCAACCTCTTCTGTCCATGAAGTCCCACCTGTCTGGTCTACCCATCAACCTTCATGCATCCCACATATCCATGGAGGCTCATGCACCAAGCCTATTCATGATGTATCTCCTACTCCATCAACTTTACCCAAACCTTCAATATCTTCTGTTCATGAAGTCCCACCTGTCTATACACATGGTAGTTCATCCACCCATCAAGGCTCATGTATCCCTCACATCCATGGAGGCTCATGTACCGAGTCCACACATAGTCTTTCTTCTACTCCGTCAATTTTATCGAAACCTCCCACTTCTTCCATCCACGAGGTTCCACCCGTTTCATCTACCCACGAAAGTTCACCTCCTCACTATGGTTCTTGTATCCCTCACATCCATGGAGATTCATGCACCAAGTCCTCCGTTACTCCACACCAAAGCTCGTTCACCACTTCGATATCGGCCCCCGCCAGTTCCAAAACTACCTCCGCCGTACCATCTATATACACTGTAAAATCAGGTGATGTTCTTTTCAGTGTTGCTAAAGATAATGGAATCCCGTTGGCTACTCTCGAGGCTTTGAATCCACAGATCGCAAATCCAGATTTACTACAACCTGGACAGGTTATCAACCTCAAACCTCATACCCCACCCTCACCAAGTACATATACTGTCAACAAAGGAGATAGTCTGTACAGCATTTCCAAAGGATTAGGGATTTCATTGGCTGAACTCAAAGCCGCAAATCCAGAAATTTCTAACTTTGAATTGATTCAGCCTGGACAAATAATCAAACTCCCCTCTAATGGCGCTACCGTTATTGTGAAGCCAGGAGATACTCTCAGTTCTTTGGCCGCTGCAAACAAAGTTTTACTCCAAGCCTTGGAAGCCGCCAATCCAGGTATCCATGACTACAATTCTATTGCTCCAGGTCAAACCATCAACATCCAACCAAGCAATGCTGCCCACGGTAAAGATCATACACACATCGTTAAACCAGGAGATACACTCACCGATATCGCCAATGCCAACGGTATCACTCTTGACACTTTGAAAGCCGCAAATCCAAACATCGTTATGGTCAACTCACTCTGGCCTGGCGAGACTGTGAAAATCCCCAGTACCGGTGGAGACAACCACAAAACTTACACTGTTAAACCAAAAGATACCTTGTTTGATTTGGCGCATAAATTTGAAGTCACTCTCAAAGATCTCAAGCATGCCAATCCACATATTCAGAATTTTGAACAGATCAAACCAGGAGACGTCATTAATGTTCCTGAGTACAAGCCAAAGTCAAAGAGAAGACTTAATAGTGTTAAGTTCAGATCTTTATTCTAATTGTAAGATTGATGTTTTATGAAGAGGTATGTTTGATCAATTCTTCGACATGACTTTGATGATCTAGAGCAATTACTGACCCAATCTCTTTGCATATAGATGTATGAATAATGATTGATGAATTTTAATCTTAATTACGCTCGCATTTTCCATCCTTCACAAAGAAAGACATCATTATATTTCGAATACTCAAAACATTCCACTCCCAAAAGTCATTTCGTTATTATACATTTCCAATTCTGTTTTGTCCAGAGAGTGCCATGGGCGGCGACTCGGACATGGTCAGTGAAGCTCACTCTTTTTGCATCTTCTATTTCTAGAATTAGACTTGTGGTAGACAAAAGCCCGACCTTTTTATTTTCAATTCTTGTCACAGAGTGTGCAACAGACACTTTGAATATTTTATATGTTAATTGGCCTCTTTTCTTCTCGCCTATTAACACCACTCTTTCCGATTTATGAGCCGTCTCTCTTGAGGTGGACAATTTATGATTCTTATATAGACACTTAGAAAATATAGACAACAGTACTCTCCTTAATTATACATCTTTCTATTTGCTTGTGCACCGACGATCGAATCTTGAATCCGAGTGACTACTTTTCCTCGCATATGTGAGATGTTTCAATAACCATTTCAAAAACTAACCCGAGGACAGTATAATTCAAAGAGCCAAAAAGCAAATTCGAGCAAAATAATCCCATTCCCATAGCGTACTGAATCCCGCATCACACATCCTACATTTCCCACTCTCAAATCTGTCATAGTCAGAGACAAGAAATAACCGACTACTAAGGGGTAGACTCTTTGATCAACGAGATCATCATTAGATCACCAAAAATTAAAACTAGCTCGCTAATTAGCGAAAGAAGACCTACACTTGCCAGGGGAGCTAATATTACAGGACTCCAGATGGATAAAATAAATCACATATCAATTAGATTCTTGTCAAGAAAGGCATTTGAATACTAAGCCTGGATGGGAATAAAAGTATTTAGTTGTTCAATTCCCATTAAGAGATTGAAATTGTCTAATTGTTCAACTTGGAATGAGAAATTGTAAGTATGTAGTTGTCAGATTAAAATCCATTTATTGGAAAGCATGTAATAGAGATCAATATGTTGAATACGATTCTATATCTCATATAGTTCTACCTCAACACTATACTACAACATAGACACCTCTTTCACATTTATTCAGATACTAACAACTAAGGATCAATAGCATATGAGAACAATTCCTTCATCGCGTACCGGGATGTGTACAAACAAGTACAAACATGCTAAACCCAACGTCATCAGGTCCGAGCTCCCTAACCAAATTTAAGCTTTCTAACCTCCATCTCCATCTCCCCAATCCCCAATCCTGCACAAACAGTAAACACACCTACCCAACCCTCACCCCTCACTCCCTAGCTCCAACCACCACCACAAAAATGTCATCCCTCATCTCAAAGTGTCTACTACGCACTCTCGTCCGCAAACCCCCTCCTGTTTCTCCGATACACACGCCTTTCAGTAAGCATACGCAACAAACGCTCTTAGCGGGGTTCTGCACACGAACTTCTGTTAGAAAATCAACTGCTGCACAATTTCCACAGCGTATGTCATTATGCCATCTTTCTCCACCGAATAGCTTGAAGTCCGGAAGAAGAAGCTATGCGACTGCGACACCCGCAGATGTAATAATCGAAGATTTGACCGAACAGTATGGAGTTGCGCGGGATGAATTCGAGGTATGTTTCATTCCCTCCATTCTCCTCCCAGCTCCTATCGTTCAAAAATTTCAAGACTAATTCTCCCTTTTCTTTCGAATGAATAGATAGCAAGCGAAGAAACCGACAAACATTCCGTTTACGCCGAAGCCGACCGCGCAGCCGCAGTAGAAGAGTTGCAGAAATTAAAAGATATGTATACCTCTGCGATTGAGGGGGAGTATGGAGAGGAAATTAAACGACGTGTGGGATCGAGGGTGAGGGAGTTGGAACAGGGGGTTGCGGCGCTAGAGGCACGAGCGTTGGAGGATCATTAGATTGGTTGAGGAGAAGAGGAGAATTCGAGGAGGGGGGGCTTTTGAAGAATTGAGATATGAGCGAGCATAAGGGAAACTTTCATGGTGGACTTTTGGTTTTGGGGATTGGAGAAAGAGGAGGTTTCGATGGCATTGGAATTGCGGATACCAAAATTATTGCGTAGCGGAAGTGGCAGATGTTATGAGAGGTTCGAATGAACGACGAATACACTTGCACTCCACAGGTTTTCATGTTTTCATGTCGGAAGATATACATAAACCTACCATATACTTCTTTAGATCTTGATGTGTATCTGATGCAAAAAATGTATCAATGTCCGGATAGGCCATGAGGCCTAAAGAACTCACCAGACAATTTATAAACTCAGTCAATCTTGTGTGTATCATTGTATACATGTTCAAAAAACTCATATAGTTTTAACTATTTCTACTTATTATCATTGTTGCGGTAAACTAAAAAGGGGTATTTCATGACAGGAAAACAGCTAGAGGAAAAATTAAAAAATTGTAATCCATAATGATTCCTCCCTCCACCCAATCCCTTACATAGTATTATCCTTCCCATGTATTCCATAATGTACCAATATCAGAGAGCCTTTGATAGATGCCTTACAATGATCTCTTCAAAGCCAGTTTGCTCGAGTGCATTCTAAGTACGTCTTGGTTGAATCGACCCTACAGTGGCGTGACTGCTCCGTGTTACGGCGCGCGAAAAACCTTTGAAGGAAAGAAAAATTGAAAGTAGGAACCTTAAATCCAATAAAACAATCATACAAAAAAGTAATATGTGTGTACTTTTCAATCAATATAGGGCGATCGCGTTGCTACAATTCATCAGAGCTTGCTGATCTAGGGGTACGTCCAGTTCCGTAATGATTGACGACTTCACCCTTTTCGTTATCGCTTTCGTTGCTAACATTGCTGTCGTCTGGCTCATCTTCTTCTTCGACGTCATCTTCAGCATCCTCGATATCCTCGTCGCTTATTAATTCTTCATCCGCACTTAGCTCACCATTTTCGTTTTCGTTTTCGTCTTCGTCCTCATCAACCTCAACCTCCATTTCTTCCTCTTCTTCCTCGTCATATTCCGACATTGATGGTCGATCGTCCTCAAAGTCTTCCTGTTCTTCTTCTTCGCCCTCAATAATCTCCACTCTCTCATACTCCTCGATGGACTCCATAACATTATCTTCCTCGTCTTCCATCTTGATTTCATTCATTTGTTGCTCAAGTCTCGAAAGGTCTTCCTGGCGTTGACGCTCTTTTTCTCGCTCCAACATCTTTGCCTCTTTCTGCAACCTCTTCTCCCGCGCACGAACCGATTCTAATTCGTCTTCGGGACACGAATCTGGTTCCGGCGGATCATCATCCTCCAATGTATCAACAATTGACATCATGTACTTTTGCGCAATTTTAGCCACTATAGCAACAGATATAGCATGCCAAAAATGCTTGCTTGTGTCTAAGAAATCACAAACGTGAATATCTCTAATCTTTGCTTGTGGATCCGAGGAGTCAAGTGTAACGAAAAGAGCTTTGGCTTGTATGTAAAGAATTCCATAGATAAGAGGAGGACGTCGAAAGTAAATTTCTGTCTCACCAAACTCATTGACAATAGGCGAAGGACGTAGAAGCGTTCGACGCCATGATTCAGCATGAAAATTCATTTGATCTTTAAGGCGTTTGGTTGTTTCTGCAGCTGGCGCGCGCCATCGACCTTCAACGAGGCACAGAACTGGAATAAACTTTTTCTTATAATAACCGCCATCCCTTTCGGTCCATTCGACGTATTTGCCTATCCATTGCCGCATCTGCGCTTCAGGTGGGCCAGATCCACCATAGTATCTATCATGTACGCGACGAGGTAGGTAGTGAACGAGGAATTCTAACATTTGGATAGCTATGGAACGATTAGTCTGGAGCAATTCAATTTTTTTATATTATATAAAACTTACATTTGCTACTCTCACCCAAAAGGGCATTATCATCGGGGCAAAACATAGCCTCAGGGACCGTCCGAAAATTCCGCTCCTTTGCCCAGTGCGGCAAAAGTCCTTCATGGCCCATGTATTGAAGTCTTTCCAATAGAAAAAGTTCTTCCGGAGACCATTCGCCATCCGCTCGAGCTCTTTCTACCGTCTCTTTTGCCATAGCAAATTCCGCAGCCTGCTTTGCAAGATATTCGTCTACTTTCTGCTGGGCAGAAATTAGATCCTCTTCCTCTTCTTCATCTTCGTCTTCATCCATATAATCTGGAGTCTCCGATTCTTCACCACTCTCAGTGACGTTGTGCGAAGAAGCTTGCTTTGGTGAGGTGTCGTCTCCTGAAAATACAGGTTCTTCAATTTCATCGTTTTCGCGAGGACGTTTGAGGGGATTTCTTGTGGGTGTCGTTCTATCTTCTTTCGAAATATAGTTTTGATTCATGCGATCATATGCGAAATTGAGAGACCTCCTATTATTTTGTGGTTCGGAGAGAAATTGGTGTTCGCCGTCAAATTCGATGTAACCTGGTGTCTGAGGTCCCCCCATTGTTCTACGACGTTTCGCAACGGGAGAAAGGTAATTGACGACAGCATCTTTGATTTTGAAAATTTGATCCATTTTTAGATCGAATGTATCAGAGTATGATTGGATGTTGTTGTAATATTATTTGTTGCGGGTTTTGTTCTTAGATCGAGTCGAGTTTGTATTGAATTGAGTCTCCTATTTCAACTCAAGGCTGAGGATCTTTGATTGTTGTAAAATACTCCTGATCGGCATTGAAGCTACGGAAACTCGATTTAAAAGATTGTGTGCGTTATTCTTTTGAGATGATGAATTTGTAAAAACAACTTTTCGTTATTGAAAATACCAAAGACCTAGGTGATTTGAAAGATTTTAATGTTGATTATGTCGACAATGCTTTAACAAATGAACAATTCTTTTCAGCCTTGGGAAACCTTGGAAATTATGGTGAGAAAGTCCGGGGTAACATAGTTTCGGGCAATGTTCCCCACTTACCGTATGTAGCTAGCAGGGGCTGCTTTCTCAGGTACGGCGAGAGGAATCTCGTCACGTGGCTCCGGCTAGTTGTGGCACATTTTTGAGATACAATACTTTTTGAATCGATGGATATCTAAGATCAATAAAATGGTTGAGAATTGATAAATCACAGTGGTGGCAGACTATACAGCAAGGAATTAACAACCGACTATTCATTGAGTCTCGAACCTTTCAGAATTCAAATTGAGATTGTTTCTACTTATTCATCCCTTTATATCCGTATCCAAATTCCATCTACTCTTCTCTCGGCCATTTATTGCTTATGTGGTGAAAGAGGCTTAGATGGTTGAACATGATCAGTTATACCAGCTGATTTCATCAGCCATAAATCACCTGGACTCTTCACCCCGTTTGGACCTCCTAAGAAATTAAGAGGGAATCCGATGTCAAACGCGTTTGACTCCTCAATTTGTTTGACATCATCATCACTCAACTCCAACGATAAAGCTTCAATGTTTCCCTTCAGATGCTCGATCTTCCTTCCACCAACAATTGGGAATACGTATTTCGCCTTCTTCAGCACATATGCCAATGCTACACTAGTGATTATGGTATTCTTCTCGTTGGCAATCTTCTCCAGAACCTTAGATATCTTGATGGCAGCCTCGGTTGGTTCCCACAACTTTCGTCCTTCATCGGATTTGCGTTGCTCGTCGCTTTTGAAGTGGCCACCTCCCAATGCACCCCAAGGAGCTAGCCCCATGCCTTCATCGGCAGCCATATCGATAATGTCACGCTCGAAATCACGGTTCTCGGCAGACCAGCGTCCTTGATACACTGAGAATTGACGGAACCCATGATCACGAGCATATTGGTTGCATTTCGATACAACCCAAGCTGGTGTATCTGAAATCCCAAGGTACAGAACTTTTCCGGACAAGACCAATGCGTTCAATGATTGCATGAGTTCTGGAATCGAGCAAGTGAAGTCCCACCAATGAACATACAGAATGTCGATGTAAGATGTTCTCAGCTTCTTTAAACTTGCTTCAAGAGATAAATGGAGAGATTTTGTTCCGTTTCCGGTAGTATTGATCAAAATTTCTTTGTCGCCGTGTCCAGCTCGGTAACACGTTGTGAACTTTGTGGCGATGACAAGCTGGTCTCGAATTCCACGCTTTTCAGCCCATTCACCAATCCATTTCTCGGATTCTTCGGCCTGATAATTGTTGGCGGTATCAATGAAGTTTCCACCTGATTCATAGAAGAAGTCTAATATCTCCTCAGTTTGTTTTTGATCGCAAGCTCCCATGAAGCTCTCCCCTTTATAGTGTTAATAACTGTCGAAATGAGCCGTTATGAAGTATACTCACAGGCATTCCCAAAGTTCATTGCTCCCAAGCATAAAGGGCTTACTCTGACTGATGCTGTGGGTGAAAGCATTCTATAGTGACCAAGAGCGGTCTTTGGGGCCGGGGGTGGAGCGAAAGCCATTTTGTGTGTTTAGTAAAATATGTTTGTGTGAGAAGAGACGGTTTGAATTGAGGGTAAGAAAAAGTGTAAGTGTGTTATCTCAGAGGTTTTGGAATCGACTGAGAGGGTGAATGAAGACATTTTATATCTGGCCACAATGCTATATGATCTCATTCTTGAAAGGAAGCATTCCTAATCATTCTCCGCATTCATACTCACTAGCAAAGCTTTAATCCTTAACGCCGGTCGTGGCATACAAATAAGCACCATAATTTGACCTGCCCAGGTGGAGTTAACTTATCTGCGTGAATCGACGACGAAACTTGGACGCTCGCCGATATCATCAATACATTTCGGCCGAAATACAAATTATGCACTGTGGTCATTGCTTTACCTGGCAGTCCGTTCCCCCGCCGTTAATCCCGAAAGCCAAGGAACTTTCCGTTAGACTATATAACATCCACATGATAGGTCCTAGTCCCCTTCATTCAGTCAAACACACCTTATCACGTCGGTGACTAAATGCATTTGATACTGGAAGACGACGCGACAATCTAGGTGTTACATACCATACACGCATGCCATTGCAGTTATGGAAGGCCATCTCATCATTTGGGTGCTGGTGATGCTTATGATACAGAACTTCTGCTACAAGATAAGTAAACAAGCACTTGTGTTCTTGTACTTATGGAACTTTTGACTCTACATACCTCTTCACCACACAACACAACGGTAATAGATTCATGATTCTGTAGTTCTTCAATAGAACTACAGCTCGCTCATCATATATTCTGCACCTGAACAAGTTTTCAGAGTTATCACGTGAGCAATACGTCACGTGTTAGGACTTCTTTCCGATGTCCACGGTCATGCCCTTATTTGGCAATCACCCAAAAAATGCAGACTCGTTGGTGTAGAAAGGAAGTTGAAGTAGCAATGTTGCGAGGTGAACTTATATAAAGGTTGGCTGGTAACGATTTCCATCGCAATGACTAACAACAACACGAGCAACGGTCTCAATTCCTGATCAGGTCTCCTAAGGTTGAGATTAGTGCAATTTAGAACAAGCATGATGGAATTGTCGAGGAGTCCACGGGTGTCTTAGTTACGAACTCCTACATTTGCTTTTTCATCTGATCATCACGAACATGCTTTTACTTTTCAATACTTCTAGCATCTTTTTCCTTCCTCCAGTCCCACTCCAAGCGAATATCATGCCTTGTTATGTGTTTTCCAACACATTGATCTTCTCAATATTCATTCCGCATCACGTGGAATGTTTACCTATGTCGGAGGCTAAACTACCCCCTTGGCATCGGAATTGACCGATTCTCGAATGGGAAAGCTTGAAAAGTCTAAATATTTCTCCACTTCCTCACACCTTTTTCCACAGTGCACCGCTCTTCTCGAGTTGTCAATTACATACATCTTTATATCATCAAGTCGATTCTGGTATCCTTACTGTTATAAGATTTCACCATAAGGTGTAGCATATGACACCGGGAGAGAAAAACGATGCAGAGGACAGCTGCTTAAAAAACCCAGGCGTCTTTACACCTAGTGTAAACGATTGTTCTCAAAATAAAAATTTCGAAAAATATGGGGTAAACTCGATTTCACCTAAATCGGAGGGTCTAGACAACGACAACGACAACAACGCAGAAAACCCTATCACTTTCAACGAGAATCTTGAAAAGGGCGTTGTTCAGAATGGTTCCGAACAACCATGTGATGGAACTTCAATTTCAGATGATGAAAAGGATAACTTTCCCGACGGTGGTTTGAAGGCTTGGTCTGTGGTTGTAGGATCGTTCTGTGGCTCATTTGCAGTCTTTGGAATCCTCAACTGCAGTGGTATCTTGCTCGACTACTTCTCCACTCATCAATTACAAGGCTATGCAACTGGTGATGTTGGATGGATCTTTGGAGTGTCACTTTTCTTGACCTTCTTGGGTGGTACACCAGTTGGTCCAATCTTCGATGCATATGGCCCCAGAGTCTTGATCTTCTGTGGAAGCATCTTGTTGATTTTGTCCATGATGTTGCTTGGATTATGCGGTGGTAAGTTACACTGATCTCTGTAAAACTTTATATCTACTCTACCTTACTGATTGTCCCAGAATATTGGCAGATTTTTATAGTCTATAGTGTTCTCAATGGTATTGGTGGAGCCATGGTGAACACTCCATGTATTTCTTCAATCGCTCAATACTTTCAAGCAAAGAGAGCTTTTGCTACTGGTATTGCAATGACGGCTGGAAGTGTTGGTGGAGTTGTAATCCCTCTGATGCTGCAACGCCTCTTTCCCACGATCGGTTTTGCATGGGCAACACGGATATTGGGATTCATCCTTCTTGTGCTCCTCATATTAACAAACCTCCTCGTCACTAGCCGTCTTCCCAAAAAGCCGCTTCCTAGCATGAAGAGCATTCTTCCGTATTGGCCTGCGTTCAAGGAGCCGTCTTTCGTCTTCCTTACCATAGCGATCTTCCTCCTCGAATGGGGAATTTTTGTCCCTCTGACGTACATCACACCCTATGTCGTCGCAAATGGTCAATCGACATCATTCGGCTTCTACATAGTTTCCATTCTCAATGCCGGTTCATTCGTCGGCCGATTGGGAGCAGGCTATGTGGCCGATCGCCTTGGCTATGTGAATACACTCATTATCTCTGTCGCTTTCTGCGTAGTAACATGTCTAGCACTGTGGCTACCAGCTGGTGATTCCCAAGCAATAGCCCTTGTTTTCGCTGTATTATTTGGACTTGTGAGCGGTAGTAATCTCAGTCTGAGTCCGGTATGCGTTGGTCAGCTGTGTGGGGTTGAAAAATTCGGTACTTACTATTCTACATGTTGGATGATAGTTTCATTTGGCACTTTGACTGGATTGCCTATTGCTGGACAGATCCTGACGGCTAGCAGAGGCGATTATACATGGTTGATTGTTTTTGCTGGGCTCTCCTATGCACTGGCTGGGACCTTCCTCGTTGCTGCAAAAGTCGCAAAGCTCGGATGGTCGATTACTAAGAAATACTGATAACACTGAATGGTTTATGATGCAGATGATTGTCCATCTCGGATTTTTCTCTCTCGAAGTTTACACAGCTACCTAGTAAATGTCTTTTATCTGAGTGGAAAAATGGTATAGGACAGAACGACCTCGTTTAAGTGGAGTCTTGGTGCGATCATCTCGACAATTCTATTTCTTGACACTCATTCCACATGCATTTGCACACGATTGTTTTCTTACAAAATTGAAAAAGAGATGGATGAAACAATAAAATAGATTGAACCCAGAATGCCAGGGTGGAAATACTAAATAGGGAGGAGGATTTAGCGAGTTGTTTGTGGTACTTGGATATCTAATGGACCTTACTCTCTCTATACACATATCTTGAATATGCAGCATATATACATAGCAATATTACACACTCATTTATATCCCTACATCTGTATCCATTCTTACCGTGCAGAAATATTTTCCGCTTCTCATATATTACATTCTTCTTTCCTTTTACATTATATTTGATGGAACTTACCTATAGAGATTCGATTCCTCGCCACTTCAATAGAAACGACCTAAGTATTCGCTTTCAAATATCATTCTGTCCCCTTCCTATTCATCAAATGGAATCAAATCACATCACATTACTTTTATCTTCATCTTTATTTTCACTCCACAATATGTATATCTATCTATCACACACATCCACACATATCAAATAGGATCTCACGGTAAAATATCCATACAGCCACTTGATTAATCATCTCATCAAATTTCCCATATACGACTATAGTATTTGTTGTCTGAAGATCTGAAGATCTGAAGATCTGGAGCGAAGAGCACGCGTGAAGACTTCATGCCTCCGGTCCTCCTTCTCCTTATATATCTAGATAGGTATGTATGTAGGTAGATATATATATATACATGCATACCTATCTATCTATATAATAACTCCACAATTGACACCTACGAATCACATCTTATTATTTATTCTATTCCATTCTATTTATATCTAGATAGATAGGTATCTATTCTCTCTCTCTCTCTCTCTCTCTTAACAATAATATAATGACATATCAAGATCACAAAAACATCTACTCACCCAACCCACAAACCCATTTACAACCCATTTACAACCCATTTACAACCCATTTACAACCCATTTACAACCCATTTACAACCCATTTACAACCCATTTACAACCCTAATAACACTAACAACCTAAAATCAACTTTTCAACACAATAACAATAGTAGTAGATTCATTCATCCATTTATCCATCCATCCATCCATCCATCCATTTACCCACCTTCCCTTCTTTATACCCACCTTCCCTTCTTCATACCCATATACCCACATACCCACATCCATACCCAACAAACCACAAACACCATAAAGTACAAAAAAAAGTCTCGTTCCCAAGACCTTCTCCCGTACTTTATGGGACTTATGGTTTCATAGGGATAATACATTCATATCCTACGTATACATGAACATCATTCGAAATATTGCATGGAGTACGTACCTAGTAGGTATACAATAACATTTTGTTGTATATACCTACCATATCTACACATATCTAGGTAATTAACGAATCAAATTCCACCCCGTGAAAAAAAGCTTTGCTGAGACAGAATGGCTTGATGGCTTTTCTAAATGGCACAACATGTGAGAGCTAGCCCCCACTGTGTTATATTACAATCCATGAAATGGTTTACCACATTCGACTCATAGATCACCTCAATTCATTGCACATAATTTGTCAAGATGATGCCATCAAATTTAAAGTCCACTTTTATATTATTCAGTAATTTATTTTCAAAGCCAGAAGTGACTTTGCCAGATCGCTGAATCATTTATTTCCCATCCTGATGTGCATCATTTTTCCATCATTGACTCCAGATATCTTCCTGTTTTTTCCCTTGAATCTTCCCCCAGATTAACTCCTCTATTCCATGAAACCCGGCGATGCAATGCAATGATAGTTCTGGTCATACCTCATAAAACCGTATATTCATGCAGACGACCATTCGCCCTATCGATGCCGATATGAAGACCATTTGAAAGACAACAGACCTTGCCAGCCGCAAGAGAAATGAATCAGACTTCCCCATAATATGGACTATGAAACTAAAGGAAGCTCACAGAAAGTATCATCATGTGGTTTAATCGTCAACGCAATAACTATCAAACTCAAAGTGTTAGATACGTTCTACCTCATTGGCAGCATCCTTCGCAATAGCATCCATGACTTTTTCCTCGGCATCGGGGTCGTCCTCAGTTGGTGGCGGTCTCTCATTAGGGACTAGCAATTATCAGCACAATATTTCCGAACGTGTAATGATTCAAATACTCACCAGGTTCTTTCCAGCCCATCATCTTCTCATTAGGAAGGTAAAGATGGAAGGAAGGGAAGAATTCCACGACTTGATCAAAATATTTGACACCGATGTTAAGCTCATGAACAACAACTTCAATTTTGAGACCCGGATAGCATTGTTGCAAAATTTCGTCCTCAATCCAGAATTCTTCGATGGAATCATCAAGCTCATCGATTCCGTCGTCCGTCTTGTCTTCGTAGGCATAGCCAGGACCTTCCCAAGATTTGCACAAGAGCTTTCCGATTGGCTTTAGAGCACCCAATCCTCGAGGATCTTTAACATGCGAGAACTCCCTAACCACGCCTGAAGAAGCTCGATGGATATCTGCCACCTCCAGGAATCTGGTTTCAATTGTTACGACATGAATATCACCATTCTTGGCTTTCTCAAAGTGGCTTTTGTCGCCAATGAAAGCAACAATTCCTCCAAAGACAAATTGACAAACAGGCAGACTGAGTACTGGTATGTTAGAATTCCATTGATCTAAGTCGTCCTCGGGATTAGCCCAGGCGGAATTGATCTCAAAGTTTCGCTTGTAGTTTTCACCAAACAGTGTTGAAGCAGCTACGTTGAAGTCGCCGGGAAACATTTGACGGAGACGTCGGATTGCATCGAATTCCCTTTCGGCCACGTCACATAATCGCCGAGCGGCCATGATTTCTTTAGTGTATTCTTTACATACCTCATGAGCCAAGACGTAGTTTAGGAAGTTTTTGACCACTCCGCAAAACATAGTCACTTCCTCTGCTCCATCACCAAGTATTCTGGGTGCTCTATAAGATCTACGGAACTGTTAGTGTATTGGACAAGATATGCTCATAGTACGGCAACTCACAGAAAGCCCTTGGCAACTCCCTCCCAATCCACAACCCAGTTTTCGGTATCTGAGGGATCATAGTACTTGGCATTGCTAGCTCGGACAAAATCTGTAGCTTGAATAGCGGCAATTTCAGCTGCAGTGGAATTCTCTAATGTTTCTTGATCGAGACCACCATTGAAAGATTTGGTGCCAGATTCAATTCCACCCAAAGCAAAATACTTTGTGAGAATATTCGCACGAGTGCTATCAAACTTGCGCCTAATAATAGTCAGATCATTAGCTAACAAATTCTGTATGTTCACAAGGTATGTATGAATAACTACCGTGCTCTGTATCTCTGGATGCATGTTTCAATACGCCTTTAAATCTTGTCAGTTTATGAAATCTACTTCGGAAATGATTGCATACGCAGCGAATGTTCGGCCTCTGCAAAGTTGTTAGTAAAGTTGACTGAGAAGGTATGAAGTACTTACTCGTGGTAGATATCACATTCCTCTTCATATTCATGTGGAGTGAGAGGTGGGTCGGCATAGAATTCTATAGTGTCACGTTAGAGGTATATTCAAGTTTTTCATGTGTAACTGGTCTTGCATACCCTCAAATCCCGTTGGGCCTGCTGCCTTTTTCTTTCCACCGCTCTTTTTCTTCTTTTTCTTGGGTTCACCCTCTCCGCCTTCAGTAACTTTTGCGTCACCATCTGCGCCTCCATCAACTGCGCCTTCTTCCTTCTTGTCGGACTCTTCAGGAGTGACGGGAAGTCTAGCAACCGGTGTATTTGTACCAGAAGCGGGGGTAACTGACAAATGGACCGGGGTTGGAGGTGGGACTCTTGGAGGGGCTGGTGGTGTTTTCATACCGGTCGCAATCTCTGGGACGTTGATATGAATTCTCTCATCATCGCTGGAGCTCGACTTTGAACCGATACTCAACAGCTGATCTCTTGTATAGCGCTTGCCCATTTTGATGTCGGATTCGTCAGTAGCTCCATCAACCCCCCTTAAGGCAGTTAAGTCGAGCTCGCTGATGGCACGAGATAACTCCTCAGGTTCAGGACCTACAGAGTGAGGCGCCATGATGTTGAGCTACCTAACCCAAATGGATGGATTAGTATCGTAACCAATAATGTAGAACCACTTGGTGGAGAAGAACTGTCAGTACTTACGCCGGCGAATTTTGGTTGGTTGGGTTTTATTACAAGAGGAAGAAATATAGAAGGCTGTGCAAGAATTAAGAGTTGGGTTACACTACCTTGATGTTGTTGGATTGTAGTGGTTGTGGGGAAGTTGCGAGTTCTTTGCGAAGATTTCTTCAGACAGTGATTGAAGCCCAATATGATGAGTCAAGTCAAATCAAGTCAAGGTGAATCTTATATTGTGGGTTAAATAATCCCAAAGTGAATTCCAATAATTTGATACAAGTGCTATGAAGAAATCGCAGAGAAAACGAAACCTTGCAAAGGTCAACAACTGCGTAAACTGCGGAGTGAACCAGGGTCAGTTGAATCTGTAATTATTAAGACTTCCAAGCCCAGGTGGTGGTGTAATAACGGTAGATGAATTGATTGTATAGGTGCGATTGTTTCACACTTTTCGTTTGCAGTGTTTTTTCTTGGAGATATTGTCAAACAATGACACGGTAGTAGAAGTGAAGAGTGAATCACATTGACTAGATGTTGAATTGTATGTGTGTGTGTGTATGTGTGTGTGTGGTTGGATACAGCAGCTGATGTGGTTCGAGTGAAAATAACTGTTCATGTGTGTATGATGCGATGGTGTGGTGACTGAGAAATCCAAAAATGGTGAAGAAATTGTAACCAAAAGAGTGAAAGCCGCCGGTAAGGTCAAGCAAGGAAGGCGCACACCAGATAAACGAAAATAATAATGAAAATGAAGGTACTTACATGGTTGGTATCTTTTTGAAAACGGTGGTACCAATAAAGTCAAGTAAATCTTGATATCACTTATTGATATTGATGCACCTTTCCACTTCTACCTACCTGTGTTTACTCATTGGATTTGCTAATATATCAACTTCTAGTTCTTCTGGTTTGCAAACGAGCGAGCAAACACTAGACCCGCCTTTCTATCACCAGCACCGCCGAGTACCTTTTTCATAAGGTTTGCCGTTGAAAGTCAAGATCCTGGTTGCGGGGAACTGCAGATTGTGGTGATGGGGATGGATGGATGGATGATGTATGGATGGAAGGGGATGTTAAAGACCATTAGAAAAATACCTACTTTGTACACCACTACTAGGTACCTAGATCATTAAGTAATCCTTCATGCCCTGTTCCCATTTTCCTATTGGATTTGGATGATTCTATTGATGCCTCAATATCGGTCGCCATCCGTCCGCCATGAAGAATGCCTTGTGAGCTTGTGTATTCCATAAAAACTCCTTTGCCCAAACATTGCTTCTCCTTCTGGTCCTGACCGTCCCCTTTCTCACACTACTGCAAGGCAGCACATCTTCGCATTAGAGTTATTGACGCTTACTCGTTCATGGATCCCTCCCTCCCTCCAGGTCATGTTGGAAGGATGTAAAGAAGGTACTTGGTGACATTGATGAGGGTACATTGCAGACGGCCGTGGCAGTGTCGGATAAAATATGCGGAATCAGCAGGAATCGTGCATCTGGTGCGTGTACTATTCTGGACTTAAACTGGGTCGAAAAGGAACATCTCGAGAATCTCCTCTACACCTGATGAGGGGAGGCGCTACACTTCCTTTATGAGGAAAGGTTCCAGCGGTTTGCCATCTCTCGGCAAGCTACACTAGCTATTTATTAATTACTTCCCGCATATAGAATTGTCCCTTAGCTCGTCTGGGTTCATCTTGCGCGCCCAATGTGAAATCGGAAATCTGATTAATCTCGATAACCACCGGTACACTCTCCTCATGATCCTCAAATGCTCTCTTTTTATTAATTAATTATTATTGAAGCCACGATAGACCAACGTCTCACTTCAGACGCCCCTTTACCACACACACACACATACACGCACACATCCTTACAATACTCAGCCTACTCTTACTCTTACCTACTCTTACTACTCTTATATTAATAAGGTTTCTTCTTTCTCTAGCGCCTGAAGACAAATAGAAGGAAAAACCTATTCCTGGTTCTTCCTTCACTCGATACATATATTCCAACACATTCCTTTCAATAATGACCTTCTCTTGAGACTTTGCGACAACCAAAAAAAGCTACAATGGCCAAACCTCTCCCAATTCATGCCGACTTGATCGATTGCAACTATGCTGTCGCAGGGCAGTAAGTCTCAAGGTCACCTTCGATCTTGTGAGATTTAAAACATTAACCCTCAAACAGTGACGGCACTCTTTCCGATATTGATGGCGAATTGTTTATCAAACCTTGCACCGATACCGAGATCGCATTCTACAACGACACTATAGCAGGGCACCAAGACTTTTACGATTTTATGCCCGAATTTCTGGGAACTTTGCAACTGGATGAGAACCACAATAAATCTTTTGAAGAAAAGGCGACTGAGCTGATTGCGCAGCATGCCAAACCTGAAGCGTCATACCCTGGCAGGACTAATGGCAAGAGAATTACTACCAATCAAGCCGTGGTTCTTATGAATGCATCGCACGGTTTCGTGAAGCCCAATATTCTCGACGTCAAGCTTGGTGTACGATTATGGGCAGATGATGCTCATCAAGAGAAAAAAAAGAGGTTTGACAAAGTTACACAACAAACCACACACAAAGACCTTGGCTTTCGCATCGCAGGTATGAGAGTATGGCAGGGACCCGATGCGAAAGGCGATGATATAGACGAAGATGGCTATAGAATATATAATAAAGATTACGGCAGGTTCGAATTAAATAATAGCAATGTTCACGAAGCATTCAAGAATTTCATCTTCACAGAATCCGCTGGTATCGACAACGAGCTAGGAAGATTAATATCCCAGGCTTTTCTCACAGATTTGAGAAGAATACAGGATGCCTTGGAAAGTCAGGAGAGTAGAATGTACTCTGCTAGTCTTCTCTTCGTTTTTGAGGGCGATGGAAAAGCATTACGCGCTGCAATGGAAGAAGCTAGCAGGACCCCACCTCCAACCACTATGGAACATGCTTCATCATCATCCGAAGAAACTCACTCATCCTTTGAAGACGATGAGGAAGATGAAGATTTAGAAGAAGAATCTTTCCCCAAAATCTATTCTCTAAAGGTCATAGACTTTGCTCATGCTACATGGACTCCGGGCCTAGGACCGGATGAAAATTCTCTTGTGGGAGTACGTAGCGTGGGAAAAATTCTGGAGAAGCTGGCGGAGTCATAATGGACAGGATCATAATAATGTCCAATGGCATATTGAGTATACTATGCTCTAGGAGAGCTGCTGGTGTGCGGGAGTTGTAGGAGTCATGGGCTTGTCAAATGCAGGGTGTCTTCATGGAGTTGCTTGGACAGGGCACACAACTATACATGAGCATGGCTGTTTATTAAAAGATTAAGATACCCCACTGCGATTGGACATCTAGAAGTCTGCATATGCAAGCATATGCGTTCATTTTGCTTTCACTTCTCATCTATCCGGTTTAGACACGGTTAATAATATATACTTAACTTCATGGTCCGCGCTCTTCTCGTGTATATATTTGAACATGTATGCTTAGTATGATTAATGTTGAAGAATGCGCATCTCAGCTTCATAACGTGAGGCGATGGTGGCTTTGAAAGTGCGTTGTCCCTATCGGCCAAGCCCGGTCTCTGACGTACTGCCGTGAAGTACTAATGAGCTACGGTATGCTTATTCCACCGACTAATCAAACAAGGGGCTAGATTGGGAGTTGTTGGGCTTTGCATTTCAGGAAGTATTACATAGCAAAACTGTAATTGTATGTCAAATATGTTGATGTTCAAAGCTCACTGAGGTAGGCGCCCATTTAATCCTTTTAATATGTATCGAGTGCCTACCTAACCAAGGTACCTGTTTATTCAAAATCCACTAAAAATATTCATCCACCCATCCAAAATTTATTCGATGATTTTTAATTGAAATTCTGTAATATGTTTCCAAGATATAAATCGATATCGACTAGTAATAATAAACCCAACTAACTAATAAATTTCACATGACAAACGCGTCGCGTGAATGAAACCACCATAGCGCACCGTAAGGCTGAGAAACCCCTGCCACGGAAACCTTGAAACCCCATATGTTTGAACTGGGAGCTCGACACTACACTCCCGCTCCCTAGCTAAAAACTTTACCCCATGCTCCACATCTTTCCAACGTAACCATACCTAGACACAATCATGTCGATACCGGGGCTTGGTCAAGCTGTTCATGCTGCTGTGAGTAGTAATTCATGAATGAAACTCCGAAATTACTCAATTTATTAACTCGTTGGGTGTAGAGAACTGCAGCACCAGCAGCCGTTGCGCATACGAATATTCATGAGCTTCAAGCTAACTCGGAATGGCGCTTCGAAGTCGCGATCGGGGCGAGTATTGAAGTCAAGGTATGGATTCTATAATATTCAATTCCATGATAGTATATATTCTCCACGAAAAACCCTCAATCTAATTACTCACTCAGGTCCTCTCCGGCACCGCAGAAATCTTCGGCACAGAACTCGCAGTCAACCACACATACACATTCCACGGCACCAAATCCTCCATCTACACCTGGCACGGCTGTCGACTCGAAGTAAACGGAGCGTGCGAGGAATACACCGCGGAGGAAACCCCCATGATCTCCTACATCAACACGCATTTCGCGCTGGAGAACTTGCGATCCGACGCTAAGAAAGCAGGACAGGATGGCCCGCGTGTGATCATCGTCGGACCTAATAATACAGGGAAGACCAGCTTGGCGAAACTGCTCACCGCGTATGCGATTCGTATGGGGCGCCAACCAATCGTCGTGAATACGGATTCGCGCGAGGGAATGCTGAGTATACCGGGGAGTTTGACGGCGGCGGCGTTCAAGAGTATTGTGGATGTGGAGGAGGGGTGGGGGAGTAGTTCAACTAGCGGGCCGAGTCCCGTGCCGGTGAAGCTGCCGTTGTGTTATTACTATGGACTTCCGAGTCCGGAAGATAATGTGAAGTTGTTTAAGCCGGTGGTCACGAGGCTGGCGTTGGCGGCGACGAGTAGGCTGCAGGATGATGCAGTGTGTAGGGAGACGGGCATGATTATTGACACGCCGGGGGTGATTAGTCAGGGGAAGGGAGGGTATGATTTGATTTCACATATCGTGTCGGAGTTTGCAGGTGAGTTTATTGGCTTGGAAATTTGGGTTTGAAGGAGAGTGTGGACTAATGGGATTGACAGTCAATGTTATTCTGGTCTTAGGCTCGGAACGTTTACACAGTGAAATGTTGCGGCGATTCTCAACCCAAAAGACTGATAACGGAGAAGCCATTACTCTCGTCAGATTAGACAAGTCAGGAGGTTGTGTCGATAGAGATGATACATTCATGCAACAAATGCGGGAAGCAACTATCAAGGAATACTTTTTCGGAGACGCAAAAAGGACCTTGAGTCCGCACACACAACTTGTTAATTTCGACGAGCTTTCGATTTATAAAGTCAAAGAAGGTATGCAATATTCTTCTCTGCCCTCTCACCTCATAGTATCTTCAGAACACTAACACTCCACAAGCACACTCGATGCAAAGTGCATTTTTGCCCGGAGGAGAAGAAGAAGCCGAACCCACACAATATGAAAAGGTAGAGCCAACACCCTCGATGTTGCATTGCATATTCGCTGTCATGCACGCATCGACTCGCGATTCTCAGGATACTATTCGAGATGCGAGTGTCATGGGCTTTGTATATGTAGCAGAAGCCGATGAGAAGAAGAAGAGAATGAAAATTCTGGCACCGCTTAATACGAGAGTCACGGATAGACCATTGATTTGGGGTAGCTGGCCTGAAGCCCCAGTAAACTTGATGGGATAATCAAATAATACACAATATTGCCGAGAAGAAAAGTTCTAATACACGTTTTTGTGCTGAGTGTTGTGCCATGTGAAAGCAAATCAAATAGCAAAAAACTCCCGCGAACAAACTAAAAATATCTTGCCCGCATTACCCAAGTTACGCCGGTTCGCATTGGTCTGCTTATAATCAACCTAACCTGGATATCCCTCTGTCATTCTTCATTCTTAATTCATATCACAGTATCCCATTTCCCAACTCGCCACTCATCTACCTCCCTCTAATCCCTCGACTGCACCTTATGATCTCCCCTAACAGCCTCCGCATACGTGGGTGGCACCGCCCCTCCACTACTTCCCTCTCCACCCTGTCCCTGTCCCTCTCCCGCATTCGTCCACGTCCCATTCTGCTGTTGCTGAACTGTAGGTGCTTCCATCGGAGCATTAGTTCCATATCCTTGCTGTTGTCTCTGCGTTCCGTTCCATTTCTTGGGGACCCGCTGCGCTCGTCCATTGGGGCCTTGTACGACGACATATGTCACACGCGCATTTTCCGAGTCGGGAATGGCGTCGTAGTGAGCGTCTTGGTCGGGGAATTTGGCGATAATGTACCAGGCGTGCAGGAGACCCGGGAGGAAACCGAGCATGCAGAGGAGAATGTTGATGAGGGAGTCGGCGGAGCAGAGGCCGCGTTTTACCCAGACTGGAGGGGTGGGGGTTAGTGGATAGGTGATGGTAGATGGGTGTGAGGGCGGAGATGTGCTGGGAGGGGCGTGGGTTACAACATGTGGTTGTTGGGTTCGGGGAAGGAGTACAGAGTTGGGAATAGTTAGGCTTACCTGCGAGAGGGGGGAATAGAATGGCGATTAAGCCGAGGAAGATATCGGATGAGCACATTTTTGATTTTTTTGATGGATGTATATGATGTTGTGTGTTTTGTAGGTTTAAAGGGTTCTTTTACTCTACAAAGAATGGTAGTTGGTCGAAGGAGCGGTTTTGGATTTATGCGAAATCAAATGTCTCTGTTCGCGGGCGAAGCAGAGCAGATTCTTGGTTGTGCAGGTGGTTCGTCATCGGAGATCGGGCCTTGCGAGTCAAAGGAGGCACAAGGAAATCATCCTTACCTCTTTGAAATTAGCGTTAATGCAATGATGCAGTCTTGGTCGGTTTATCGATAAGGTGAACGGAAAGTCGGACTCTAATATTGCAGCTAGACAATCCTTGTCGCTCTTTAAGTCCAGACATTTGATGATTAAAAAAGTTCAAGATTTGATTTGTTGCGCATTACGATTGTACATATAATTCACAAACGACGAATATGCCGGGAAATAATATGGATGTCGATATGGAGGAAGAGGATGATCCAATAGTCAGCTCTTATGATATTTTCATTAAACCTCATATCTCTGAAGGTCGAGAAATTTATGTATTACAATTTCCCAATCGCGATATTGAGCAACGATACGCTGGGTCAAATGATGCTCAACCTCTCAAATTTCGAACGAAGCCAAAGGCCGGAATGGTCGAGATGGATGTTCCAATCGATGCGCGTAGGAATTATGATAAGGATAAAGGTGTGAAATGGGGAGATGCTATCAAGAAGAGTCAAATGGTTAAGGGTGGAGGAAGTCATGGTTTACCCGGTGGTTTTGGAATTGGAGGAGCCCAACCAACTGGCAGAGGAAGAGGACGGGCACAAGAGCTTGACCCTGAGAAAGTAATGGCGGATTTTGAAGGCGCTATTCGGACGGAGCAGGTTTTGGTTAAGCAAACTCTTGGTGGTCAAATCATTCCCGTCGATCAAAATAGTCCTCAATACTTTCTAGGCGCTTTTCAGAGTGGTAATTGGAGATTTTTTTTTTCTTTTCATTCTTGGGCAAGAAGCTAATTTAATCTAGATAAACTTCACCTCACTCCAATTGACCATATGGTACAAATGAGGCCTCAATTTCATCATATCGACGCACATGTAGAACAGGAAAAGCAAAACCGACCTCGCGAAGGACCTGCACCAAAGGCTACCGAAGCTCGAGCTATTCATATGACGGTTAAGTCAAGTATTGACGGAGAAGAAGATGGGAGTGACAATATTGGCGTACGAATCTCTGCTGCGCAACAAGAGCAATGGGTGAAGCACCGATATGTTGACGAGGATCATCAATCTGCTTGGGAATGCTATCATGAAAATATGTTTATCTATCCTGAGCCAGATGAGAAAGGAGAAGAGCAAGAACTTTCGCCAGATGTGGTTCCAAAGTTAACCACTGGGATAGATGATATGGCATATATGGATACAATCAGTGCGCCAAATAATGCTGCGAAAATGTCAAGGGCCAAGGTGGATGCGCAAACGATTGATCTTGATGCAGATGATGAAGAATAGAATTGTATGATATGGGTTCATTCTCTGGCGTATAAATCAAAAAAGATACCCCGCACATGTCCTTGGTAGACGAGATACTAGGTAGACAATTGAACATACTTCAGCAGAAAAATTTGGTATTTGTCTACTTCATTTGAGATAGAATGAATATGTTTTTGTTGTATGTATCTTGAATGTACGTACTCGAGTAGCGTTTTTCATATTTTATCTATAAATCGACTCTAGCTACTGGTAGGTATCAATCCAAGTACTGTGCGTGAGGCTTGATATATCTTAAATCCGAATACAGGCAGGCGATAACGATAAAAAAGTTCCGGCGTCATTCATTATCAACCACAGCTCGGCCGATACCTACTAGGTGGGTAGCTTTACTTGCTTGCTATCCTAAGCTCGCCATCCCACCCAAACATACCATTTTTACCACACTTTCTTCCACGCAACTTACAGATTCAATATGGCGTATCTGGCCCCAATACATAGACCAAGTAGTGTACGACTTACACTGCGATTGAATCTTTTAGATGATAGAGAGGAATGTCTGGTACTTGCGTAAGTAGCAATCTGTACAAGATTCCATGATTCAAATGCATAACACAATGGAATGCTGACTTCTCTACAGCAAAGCAAATCGATTAGAAATATGGAGGCCCACAGAAGAAGGTCTCACGATGGCATATTCGAAATCCATATATGGCCGCATATCCATGCTGCAAAAGATCCAACCTGCGGGATCCAAGACCGACCATCTCTTCGTAGGGACCGTTCGAGCACAATACTTTACCGTGATGTGGAATCCCCAGACGCATAAACTGGATACCATGCAATCGTTCGTCGATGTCTCTCAAGAACACATGCGGGATTCCGAAAGTAGGGATAGATGTCTTGTGGATCCGACAGGGCGATTGTTAGTTATGGAATTGTACGAGGGAGTGCTGAATTTGGTGAAGATTGTAAAGCCTAGGGGAGGCAAGACGGACTACTTGGAGAACCCGGAACAAGTGAGGATTTCGGAGATGAAGGTTCGGGCGAGTGCATTTTTGTATACGGATACTAAACAGCCGAAATTGGCTTTGCTGTATCAGGATGCGAGGGAGAATATGAAATTGGCAACATATAGGATGCTGGATGACAAGGGACAGCTCATTTTACAGTTTGATCCGAAGAAGAATATGGAGAATGATGTGGATGATCTGTGTGTTGGAGCTATGCATGTCATACCGGTTCCCAAGGCGAGAGATGAGGCGAGCAAGAGATATATTGTTAGGAACGCCACGACTGCCAAGGCTAATCTAGGAGGGCTGGTTGTCTTGGGAGAAACGAAGTTTACATATCTGGATGATGAGAGTAAAGCTATTGTCGAATATGCGTTGGATGAAGCTGTATTATGGGCGGCGTGGGAACCGATAGATGAGAGAAATTATCTACTGGGGGACGATTATGGCTTTCTATACATTTTAACAATACTGGTCGATGGCGCTACAGTTACTGGACTACAAGTTGTGAAATTGGGTCAGGTGTCTAAGCCTACATCTTTGGAGAACTTGGGGAATGGAATCTTCTATATTGCTTCTCACGAAGCGGACAATCAGGTCGTTCAAATAGATTTGGAGAGTCCAGAACATGGTGTTACCTTGTTACAGACACTGCCGAATATTGCTCCAATACTCGATTTCACGGTCATGGATATGGGCGGGCGAGAGGGAGAGACTCAATTGAATGAATATTCTTCAGGCCAGGCTCGATTAGTAACGGGCAGTGGAGGATTCGAGGGAGGAAGTTTAAGAAGTGTTCGGAGTGGAGTTGGACTTGATGATACTGCGATACTTGCCGAAATGGAGGGTATTCGCAAGGTCTTCGCGTTACATTCTGGTCCAAGTCTACCGAATGATACTCTTGTAGTGTCGTTTTCAACAGAGACTCGATTCTTTAAGTTTGATTCACAAGGAGATATTGAAGAAGTGGAGACAATCAAGAATTTGTCTTCTGCCTCGGAAACATTACTAACTTATAACCTCGATGAGGGTTGTATATTACAAGTCACACAACATGAGGTAGCAATACATGGCAAATCTCCCGGTCATCGATGGCAACCTCCTGCCGGACAAATAATCACGGCAGCTTCAGGAAACCAGAATTATATTTTACTTTCGTCTAATGGACGTGCCCTGGTCACTTTATCAATTCAACAGAATTTAACGGAGGTCGCATTTCAGGAGCTTGGAGATGATCAAGTAGCTTGTATACATGTACCCCAAGTATTGGATGATATAGGTGTCATTGGCTTATGGAAGTCGGGATCGGTATCTCTGCTTGATCTCGCAACTCTCAATACTATCGTATCAGAGGATCTACGACGAGCTGATGGAGCTTCCATACCGAGAGATATTGCTCTTACTCAAATTCTACCCCCAGAACTCTCAGGCCCAACATTGTTTGTCAGTATGGAAGATGGTATTGTGTTGAGCTTCAATGTCGACAAGACAGATTGTTCACTTTCGGGACGAAAAAGTATTGTCCTTGGAACACAACAGGCGCAACTTCAAATTTTACCACGGGATAATACAACTTTTAATATTTTTGCAACATGCGAGCATCCTAGCTTGATATATGGTTCTGAGGGTAGAACCGTGTATTCGGCCGTCACAGCTGAAGATGCAATCGCAGTATGTTCGCTGAACAGTGTAGCGTATCCAGATTCAGTAGTTGTGGCTACGACAAATGAACTCAAGCTCGCAGCCATCGACAACGAGAGAAGAACACATGTCAGAACTTTACCGATTGGTGAGACTGTAAGGAGGGTAGCATATTCAGCCAAGGAGAAATCGTTTGCGATTGGAGCTATCAAGCGGGAACTGACAAAGGGACAAGAAGTTGTCACGACTTCTTTCAGACTTGTCGACGAGGTTGTTTTCGGTGAGCTAGGAGAACCGTACTATCTACCACCAAACAACGAAATTATCGAGACTGTTATACGAGCGGAACTTCCAACAAGACATGGCAGTGGCGAATTAGTCGAGCGTTTCCTTGTCGGTACAAGTTTCCTTCATGAGGAAGAAGCGAATGTTCGTGGTCGTCTTCTTATTTTTGGTGTCAATGCCGACAGAGCTCCATATATAATCGCTTCTCACAACCTCAAAGGCTCTTGTCGATGCATTGGTGTACTCGATGGTAAAATCGTAGCGGCACTCAATAAAACAGTCGTAATGTACGACTACGAGGAAACATCCACAACATGCGCCAAACTTAATAAACTAGCAACATATCGATGTTCAACTTGTCCCATCGATATCGATATTACAGATAATATAATAGCAGTAGCGGATATTATGAAATCAGTTGCGCTGGTCGAATATACACCTGGAACCGATGGTCTTCCAGATAAACTCGAAGAGGTGGCAAGACATGCACAACAAGTCTTCTCAACGAGTGTTGCAGAGGTAGATACAGATACGTATTTGGAAACAGATCACGATGGGAATATAATCTTGTTGAAGAGGAATAGAGAGGGTGTTACGAGAGAAGATAAATTCAGAATGGAAGTTACTTGTGAGATGAATCTTGGAGAGATGGTCAATAGGGTTAAGAGGATCAATGTGGAAACATCGAAAGACGCTTTATTGATCCCGAGAGCTTTTCTCGGCACAGTACGTCCCCTATTCCCCGTTCTCAAATTAATTAATCATTGATACTAACAACTCCTAGACCGAAGGATCAATCTACCTCTTCTCTCTTATCCCCCCACAAAATCAAGATCTATTAATGCGTCTCCAAACCCGTCTAGCATCTCTCCCTTCCGCCTCGTCCCTCAAAGAATCCTCAGACTCCACATCCCCTCATCAGATCGAACTCTCGCCCGGTAATCTCGATTTCAACAAATACCGTTCCTACATATCCGCCACGCGGGAAACGAGCGAACCCTTCAGATTCGTAGACGGGGAGTTGATAGAAAGATTTCTGGATTTGGAGAGTGAGGTGCAGGAACTTGTGGCGGAGGGGCTGGGTGTCAAAGCGGAGGATTTGAGAGGTGTGGTTGAGGGATTGAGGAGGTTGCATTAGAGGGATTTGTCAAGGGGGGAGGAGAAGCGAGAGTGAGAGAGAATTGGCATTTTAGGTGGATATCTAGGATGCGGATGTGCATATCGATATGACTGGAAATTGGAATGAGACAAGTGAGTAGAGTATAGCTATCTAAGGTTGAAGTAAAGACAAAAGACAAGAAAACAAGCTTTCTACACGCATCAAAAATGAATAAGGTTATCAATCACGTAGAGGAAGGTAGCTATTGCTGTATAGTACGCACCGAGGTATAGATGATAGACTTGCATGAATTCATCTAGAGGACGGGGGAAATAAGAATACAAGTTGTGCTCTGCGATTTCTATTGATGACATGGTTGCTGAGGTGAGGCGGAAGAGAAGGTATTCTACGTGATACATCTTCTTTGAGTTACTTGAGCAATGGAATAGCAAGGCCACTGATGCACAAGTCTGGAGGGCCATATATCAAAGGATTATCCAGTAAAACCTACGATACGCGACTGCAATTTTCACCAAGTCACCTGCTAAGTTCACACATAGTACGTCCAGAACATTTTTGGGGGAATATCTTCATTTTCATTTATTCGACTCCGTGACATGGTTACCCCGAACTGCTAAGATATCTATAAACAACAGAAAAGTCCTTGCCCTTACAATTCTCCTGTTGTTCCACAGTTTCATAAACCTCTCGAGCTCTGTTACCAAGCTCAAGTTTGGCCTGAACTTCTTCTGCTGCTTTCAATGCAAGTCCTAGATCTTTCTTCATGAGGCTTATACCAAAACCTCCACTATAATCTCGTTCGGCTGGTGCACCAGCTACAACACCTTTGACGGGATTGTTAAGTTCACTTGGCCAACATTTGCCAGTACTACTGTTAATCAAATTACCTAGGACCTGTGGATTAAGACCCCACATTATTCCCAAGTTCATGGCTTCAGCTGTTGCAATGTTATTGATCGCCAGAAGGTAGTTATTGGCAAGCTTTCCGGAAAGACCTGCACCTTGAGCTCCACAATGTAACACCCTCTTTCCCATCATGGTGAGTATGGGAGTCACACGATCAACTAAATCATCCGAAGCCCCAAGCATAAAGGTCAGAGTTCCGGCAGTTGCGCCAACAACACCTCCTGACATCGGCGCATCGACGAATCGACCTTGTTGTGTTGTATGAACTGCCCTAGCAACATCTCTAGAGGATGTTGGATCAATTGTGGAACAATCAATGAAAAGACGATCAGGATTGGCGACTACAGATGTAGAAAGTGGAGGCTTGAGTATTTGACTAAAGACATTCTTCACATGTGCTGGCTCTGGTAAAACGGTAATGGTAGTTTCCTGCAAGCAGTGTCTATTAGCAATTGAAACAGATATTTCTTCAGACAAAATAGACAATTGATTGAAATAAAATCAGAGGATTGGCTTTGTTGTATAATATAAAAATCATTAGAAGATCAACCAAGACGGTTGACCCCAACTTAGATCATTCATGGAACAAACTCATCACATAAAACGGAAGGATTTTGATTGCGATAGACACAAAAATGGGATAACTTACAGAATTTTCTGCAGCTTCTCTGACGTTACTTGCAGCCTCGACAACAGCTCCACTCCCAAGAGCTTTTGTGTCTTTTGTGAACCTCTCCACTGCTTCCGTATTGATATCATAGACTCGTATTGTATCGGCAGGAGGTAATTTGGCCTGAAGGTTTCTCGCCATATTGTATCCTGTCTAATGTTAATGAGAGATTCTCTTTTTTTGGGGCGGGGGGCAGATTCAAAGTTAACATACCCATTTGACCGAGACCAATAAACCCCCATTGTTTTTGTCTTCCCACTGATGCTGAGAAGTTCCTCTGTTGAACAGATTGAAATAATGACCGCACAAATGGCGCCGTTGTCCTCACATTTACCCTCATCTTCACAATCCAATTCACGTTGTTGAAAAGTCAATTGGAAAGAAGAGGGGGGAGCTTTAAAAACAAACAGACGGTTGAAGCGGATACGTTCCGTACGAGCAACCGTACAAGCTGACGAATGAACGCATGCGGGTGCTCCCTCGGGTGATATTTAATTGAATGGGGAAGGAAGCATGGAGAATGTGGGGAAGTTAGTCTGGTTGCGCTGCCCGAGGCTGCTTTGCTTCCTGAATCCTTGAACCGTTACCCCGATATCCGACAAAAGCCGACAAGATCAGCAGTTTTGCTATCAATCCATGATAGGAAATACCTCACATGAGGTTAAACCTTGAGGTTCCATGCTTGCTAACCAATGCTGATTGCGAGATTAGTTCAAGGAATGAATGTGTAGCAAAAGAATTGATAATTGATAGTTGATTTCTCCATACTTCGTGCTTTGTAGAGAATCCAAGAGATAAAATTGGGAGAGAGATAAAAGAAGTATGGGAATAAAATTAAAAAAGAATTGGAGAAAAGTTTGGAGAAAAAAAAAAGGGAAATATATGCTTAGTCACTCAATAAGCGAAAGAGCTTACCCCTGTCAAATGAAAAGCACTGATAAGAAGCATTGAGAGACGAATCCCGTCAAAATCTTTCCACGATCCATCAACTTGCACAGTTCAGTGATGGGGATTCGTGGTCCATACAAATCAACGCCAGCACGTCATCAAACAATCACAATTCTAGCATTAGAACTTCGATCATCATCATACTGCTACATTAAAATATACTCAAATTCGGCTCAGATGATGCGGGGTAGGAGGTTCTGATCTCAATATCAAGGCACATGTTGGACGAAACAATCCACATACCAAACTTGTATACCTGCGCATATGCTTCGGGTTATTCTTCGGTTCACAGATGAGATCGACGATCGAGTAGTTCCTCGTGCTTATGTATATGCTGTATATATTGAGGGTGGATTTTTGGTACACGATTGGATTCATCCGTTGCGAGAGCCATTGAACATATGAAGTGTAGTTAAATACGCGGTTCAATGGAGTGGTTACTCGTATAGTAATATAATTAATTTGTACCTATCCCTGACCAAAAGACTGACTCGCTATGCTATAAACGATTGTCAAGAGCACCGAGAAGTAGCTCATTCTTGCTGCCATGCTATTCTATGACCGAATCCTGTATGATATCCAAAATCCTGACCCAAGGCCGAACCCCTATCCGAACTACCGCCCGGAAAATACAAAAGTCCACATGTCTATTCCGTCTATACCCAATCACCTACCTCTTTTTTCCCCTTACGCCCTCGACCACTGCTTCCAATGCTCCTGCAGCCCGTCTCTCCCTCCTCCTGAACTCTCCATTGAACATTTCCGGCAATACCATCTTCGCATTTGCATGTTCTTTAGCAAAACCCACCTCTGCGGAATTTCCAAACTTCGCTCTCGTTACCCTAACAGCCTCTTCCAACATCTCTGTTCCCACACCTGTACCTCTATACCTTACTCTTGTAGTCCATGCTCTGATGACACCTTTCCCTCCTTTCTTCCCACTCTTTCCTTTCCTTGGCGATCCATTGACATGAGGAGCTCGTTCAATGCGCAATATAAGTGCTCCAATGAGTTCCTCCCCATATCGAGATCCAATAATAACATCTTCCTCTCCTTCATCATTTTTGGCAAAATTCCAATTGAACTCCTCAGCCGTGTGTAAATACCCTGCAGTGGCAGCTCGAATTGCTACCAAACATGCCATTGTAACTCCTGCTAGTGTGGTTACAAGTAATCCCAAATCGCTGGTGTCTGTGTATTGCCATTTTGTCACAATTCCAATTATTAATGCGTAAAAAGTAAGAGTAAGAGGATGGAAGATTAATGCTTGAGCAGCAATTTGTCGTTGTTGGGCAATAGAATCTGCGACTAGTTTTAGAGCTTTCGTTTTATCCTCTTGGGTGTCTAACGAGGTAGTTGTGAGAGAGGGAACGCCGTCGAGGGGATCGGGAACAATGGTATCATCATCGATATTGGAAGACATAGTTGCGAGAGATGATGGGCGCAGTGGTGGAAGATTGTAAGAAAATGATGCGCCCAGAATTGGAGTTGAGGTTGTAGAATTGAGTGTTGATGGTGGCAGGACCAGATTTGCTCGAAGAAAAGTAAAGAAAGCTGGTGGGGGTTTATTGTTAGCAAAGCTTGACCAGACTTTTTGTGAATTGGTGTTGGATGATAAATTGTCAACGTTTGCGAAAATAAAGTATTTTGACATGTGAAGAGTTTCTTCTCACTCACAATTGAGGGATAAAATCCACAAAACAACGAAGGTTAATATCAGTTGGATTGGTTGAAATAGCTTCCCACCTGCTCAGACGACTGAAAGTTTCACAGAAAACCTTTTCAAAACTTTTTGCTTTCCAAACACCACAAACTTCTTTCGTACAATGAGAACCAGCGATTCAACAGAAAAAAGAATACAAAAAAACACTTCTCAAAAGAAAATATATAAATGAAGAAACTCACCAGCACTAGCTAGAAATCCTGGGACAGCATTCATTTTATCCACCACAATATTGGCAGCAGTAGTAGTACTATTCAATGTCGTACCGCCACCATATTGCGACCTTCTCAAATCTAATCCCCTGGGAATAGACACAGGCACGTGTCTAGGCATTGTCCCTAAAAAGGTAACTGTTACCAAATAACTCAACCTTTTTCGGTTCTTCTTCCAATTTCCGATACCATTCGCGTGAGGATGGATGATTTATTGAACGGGATCAAAACTCAAGGATCTTAATCTTTTATATGGGATTTGGGGATACTTACTGACGTATGAAATCTGCACGTGGGGGTCCCAGTTTAATTGGTGAGGAGCTTGTTTATCTTCTTATCGATATGCCAAGAGTTTAAAGTTTGATGGACATCAAGGATTGATTTGGAAGCAAGACATGGGACATCTAGACACAAGCCATATTATATCGTTTTGAGTGGATGAAGATAGGGCTTAGTAGGCGAGGGGGAGGAGGGGGAGGGGTGGGTGTGGGATAACATCCAGACTGGTCAACTGGTGCATATGATGGTAGGCGATTTGATGGCTGTTGGCTGTTCGACTTTTGACTTTGAGTTTTGGCTTTTGGCTTATCGTCAATGATAGCAATGGAGGTAGATGACTGATTGTGATATTGATGCCCAGTGGATGGGCAGTGGGTCGGCAGATGTTGTGTGAGTATCGGTATCCAATAAGCCTCGCTACCAGCTCTCGGGATGTTTTTATGGAGAGTGAAGATAACTAGTCCGTGTGACCAAATCTATCAGACAATCGTTGCCCATACTGGCGTGCTCGATCAGCTCTGTTTCCAAGGTCCTTTTCACTTATATCTGAACTAATGCGTGGTCGTAGGAACTTGTTGTGTAAAGTAAATCACTTGAGTATGCAAGCTTCAATTTACTACCAATGATAGTTGACTTTGACAAATATCCTAGATATCAGTCACCATATCCCTGGAGCCTCAATGCCGATGAGTTAAACTCTCTGTCAGGATTCTGTATCCGTATATTACGTATCATTGACGAAGTTTCATACTTCATTCAAAGGATCTTCTTGCCTCGTGAGCAACAACCCACCTTTCGATTAGGCTCTGAAACGGTTGAGAACAAGTCCTAGGCTGCCCAGCGCTATGTCGGTTAGGGCGCCAAATTCTCCAGAACATTCCCTTGCTACCATCAAGCCAAGAAAAAGTCCATCATGCCAGCCACCAATACGGACCTCCGGTATTGGAGCGCTGCGATTGTAAGCTCAGGGTGTTCAATAGCCCGGACTGCAATCCAACAATCAAAAACTCATGTACAATGTGAAGTACAACAAGAGTTGAGATGAGACTTGCTTTAATTTGCAATCCGTGTGGTCTCTGAAGCTGGAGCGTCTTTGTGAATTGGAGTGGTGCACGGACCTCTCGACATATACCCAAACTTCCTCCAGCTTCAGAAACTCATCATTTTATATCTTTTCATTATTTCCTTGTTCAAACTTGCGTGGATATATTCTCTCAGTACCACAACTTCATACTTAGTAGTATTTTGACGATCACGTCTAGAATTTGGTGAAGAAACACAAGGCAAGCTGCCAGACCACGATGATCATGATTATTGAGGACGTTCTCAGTCGAAACATTTGAGCGTGTTCAAGCCCTCAAGGAAGCCTTCGATTACAGTGGGAATGAAGGTTGAGAGGGATTCATCTATCTTTGGGACATCTGAAGTCTATATTTAGGAAAGAGTTGGAATCTTGGTAACAAGCCGCACGCCGCTCACTTCACAATTTTCTTTTGTACTTCCAACATTCCTAACATTCTTCTCCACGCCGTCTCAAGAACGTGAAGTAATAACTATCTCCTAGCCAACTCTAATGTTTTGATCCTTCCTATTACTGCAGAATCAAAACATGCACCTTAATGGTAACTCAGCTAATCACCAAACTGAAACAACTTCATGAGATCTACCTACTACTCTAGACTGTGAGGAACTCGAAATTTCGGAAGCAAACGTCCTAGGTATGCGTAACATAGTAAACAATTAAATCTTCAAACAACAAAAGCCATCGCGATGGATATAAATTGAAGCAAGAGTCCTCCAGGTAAAGAGCATCAACGGCATCAACTCTCGACAAGAACTTTCGACATCTCGGCAAACATCACATCACATCACTACACCGAACCACCTTCCAATACCAAATACCACTCACCCAAACACAAACACAAGCCCTTCAAAACCACCCACTCAAAATGCAATTCCGCAACACCCTCACTCTCCTCCCCCTACTCCTCACCTCCACCCTCGCCATCCAAGTAACCTACGACCCCGGCTACGACAACGCCGCTCGCTCCCTCTCCGCAGTCTCCTGCTCCAACGGTCCCAACGGTCTCGAAACCCGTTTCCCCCAATACAAAGTCCAAGGCGATCTCCCCACCTTCGCCCGCATCGGCGGCGCATCCACAATCGCGGGATGGAATTCTCCTAACTGTGGTACTTGTTACACCTTAATCTATCAAGGCGTCTCGATCAATATCTTGGCCATCGATGCCGCGGCTACGGGGTTTAATATTGCGGAGAGTGCGATGAATACTTTGACTAACGGGAGAGCGGTCGAGTTGGGAAATATTGATGCGGATTGGACTTTGGTGACACCTGAGGAGTGTGGGTTGCCGGCTGAGGAGGTTGTGTCGCCTTGTAAGGCATAAATTTGGGGGTTTGGGCGATGGTAGGAAATTTTGGGGAGGATACATTATGGGAAGGGGAATTTGAAGAGGCAAGGAAAGTGGTTTGGCGTAGTGGTGTGATGATTTGTTAGATGATCGATATATGTTTGATTGTCTCACTGTTCGATCTTTTGAACTTTACTTTTAATAATTTGGAATAATGCTAATCTTAATTTTCATCTGCACATGCAATGTGACTTGCATATGCATTTCTCAATCCCATCAACAGCTTATCAATTTATTACAACTTCATAAGCTTACAGCCTCATACAGCTTCTACGGTCGAAAGCGTATATGAATTCTTTCCAAATCACTCAATAAACATCCCACAAACTAACCTTCCCATCCTTCCCTCCCACAGCAACCCAATGTGTTTCCCTCGCCTTCCTCAATCTCTCCCCTTTAACATCCAATTGCCCAGTCTCCCCGCCAACTCCTTCCCCTTCCCATCCCCTCCCCTCTCCACTTTCCCCCCTTCCAAAACATCCGCAACAGCAACCGCAAAAACACCCATCCTTATGCCACTTCAGCACCGCCAATTCCCTCAACTTCGCCACTCCGTAAACTCTAGCTCTCCCGTCCCATCCGCCTGTCACGGCAATCTTCCCATCGTTTCGCATTTCTATGCTTTGTTGTCCCGCATGTGCTGTTCTCAGCATTTTGGGCTCGTCTTTAGCGGAGCTTATTATTGATTTTGATTCTGAATTTGATGGTGAAGGAGAAAAGGGATTTGTATTGGTGGGGATTAAGTATTTGATAATACGATCGTCAGCACCACTAGTGAGGAAGAATTTGCGGTCGGGGCTTGGATCAAGAGAAAGGGAGAGGACTGGTTGAATGTGCGATTTGGAATGGTATGTGGTGTTCCATTTCGTTGGTTGAGATGAAGGTACAGTTGAAGGAAAAGAAGAGGATGGCGAGATAGGCGAAGTGAAGGAGAAAACGGAAACTGAACCATCTTCGTAGCCGGAGAGAACGGTTAAGCATTTAGTGATTGGATGGAAAAAGAGCGATAGACACATGATCATGCCTGGCTTCTCTGGTCCAGGCGAAGGAATATTATGTAGGCGATGGAGAGTGGGAATATGGAAGATATCGATCTGGAATTGTTAGTTTCTCTTGCTTATTTCACGGGATGGTTACTTGCTGATTCGGATGTTAACGTATTCGGGACTGCGATTAACAATTGATCTTCACTTCTCTCGTCTTTTTCGATTTCCGCTTCCGCTTCTTCGTCTTTCCCCTTCTCTCCGTCCTCCTTTACTTTGATATCCGTGTACAAGGGACACATAGCAAAGGCGCAGAAATTCATGGTGTTGACATCTAACATATGTAGAATCCATGGTTTTCTCCTCTCTTCCGAGACGGTATCAACGGGAAGAACTTTACTCATGAATTCCTCCTCTGATGGGGGGAGCTTCCATATTATGAGTTTATTGTCTTTTCCATGCCTTCAAGATGTCAGCTTGGCGTTCTTCTCTGCTCACACCCCCTTTCCCAAACATGATGACGGCTAGTTAATCCCACCCCTTCCCCTTCTTCTTCCCCCAACCACAAATCCCCCAACCCCTAAAATTCCAAGAGAAAAGAAATCCCAAAACTCACGTAATAACCCCGTCCCCCCACTCCCCCACCCCTAGCAAAACCCCCTCGTGCGCCCTCCAAACCGCAGTACCCCTCCTACTCTCCAAACTCCACATCACAACCCACCCCTCCGCATCCCCCGTAACCAGTCTCGTGTTTCCTCGTATAAACTTCGCTACATGTATTGGAGTCGCATGTCCGCGTAGAATATATGATGGCTGAGGTGCGCCTGGAGGTATGGACATTGCGTCTGTGTCAAAGTGCTCAAGAGTGCACAGGATGGAGAGATAAAAAATCCGTAGTGTTTAGAAATCAAGTTTCTCATAGAATCATTGCTAGGAGTTTGTTGATGAAATTGTTGGACGCCAGAAGCCTGATCTCTTGAAATGTATAGATTCGTTACATAAGCATCACTGGAACCAAGACAACGATTTCTCCCTCCTCCACAATTCAATAATGAGAACTATTGTTACTGGAATTGTACACCATCTAATGTTTCCTAGTCACCTAGATTTGATGCTCAAGAACCTCACAGCTCAGTTCAACCCGAGAAATTCACCTAAGATGTGCTAATCACCATGTAATAAAATTCCTTCCGACTGCCCGCTCCCCAAACGAATTTACCAAAACATTTCGAAAACGTTTTTGAAACGTTTGTAAACGACCGACACATTTTAGATGTGCAACAAAACTTTTCAAGATAATGACAAATCACGTGTCGTTTATATCATTGGTTAATTCCCTACTTCACGATGATGATGACTAATACAGGTAAGTAGGTCACCAGGGTAGGTAGTTTTGAAAAGCAATTTTTCTATTGAACTGACAATTGAAACATAGGCATTTGCGTGATGTTGAATCATTGACTGTCTGCCAATACTGCCGGATTCGCCTACCTGTATATGAAGTTCATAATGAGTTCACCTACTCACCAACTTCAAACCATTCAGACGAGAAGGGCGTGCATCGAACAAATAGGGACATTCTTTAACATTCAGAGATAATACAATTCATGTATATTGTATATACACTGTCGTCCAATGCCACTCACTCTATCGTACTACACTATCTAAGAACAACGCTGAAAGAATCAAGTCCTCCATTCCCTCAAACTCCAAGGTTTTATGTTCAAGAATACCTAGGAGTGCCCACCAATCCGGCGCCGATTGTTTATTCCCCAAACGCCAATTTGACTCCAATGTCCCAGTTCATAACGCTAAATTGAAATTTTGTCCCCCTGATTCCGTATGCAAAATGACGTCCATCCCTGAATTTTCCTCTCAGGTATCGTTTTGATTTGCGTCTCCCATAGCGTCGTCGAAGAAGTGATGAACAATGAAAATCTCGATGCTGGTTTGTAATATGACATATCAATTATAGATATGTATGAGTAAATTGATTTGTTGTGTTTGGTGGTTGATAATGTTGTTGATATGGATGATTCGGTAAGGAGAAGTCCGCAGTTTTCAGAAGAGGATTCAAGATACCGCTTGGAATAGACGGTCTTGGTGGTGCAGGTGGTAAATTTGACGATGGTGTTGGCGTATTAGAAGGGAAAAACTGTGACAAGGAATTCGCTTGTGGCATCATCTGTTGCTGTTGTGCTGTTTCATCTGGCCAACCCCACTTCGTTTTGAGTTCTTTGTGTAAGAACCCAACTCTCCAACCCGTCTCTTTTCGAATTTTTTCGAATATGGTGAGTACTTCTTCTTGTTCGCGACGAACGACTAAACATTCGGCAGCGATAGCTAAAGAACGAAGCGCGACACTAGCAACTCCCCTGTCCTTGACGTGTGCTACAATGCCACATATGGAACGAGAATGGTCTTGCTGCATATCGTGCATTTCCGCATTTTCTGGACTCAACAACGGATTAATTTGAGGGAGAAGGCACATCGCTGTGTGGTAGAACAATCTACCAACGATTGTGGCACGTTTGAGAAGCCTATAAGTTTGTGATTAGTAGGTTACTTTGTACACCCCGCTTAATGGATAGATACTCACCAGATCTCTGGGAAGGCGGAACTTGAAGTGGTCTGTGACGGATACAAATAAGCCATCGGGTGCATGGTCCGAGGTATACTAGTGTTCCAGCTATCACAAAGATTCTTTAACTTTTGCCACTCCACATACCTAGATTGCATTCGAATTTGTTCGTCGTGTGGTGAAGCCTCCTGAAATCGTGGAATTGATGCCCGGAAGTTTGCGATTTTACCAATGATGTACAGCATCCGATGAACCCAGACTTCCTCTCGTCCAGCTTCCAACTCTCGTGAAAAATCCATATCAACTCCCCATTGATCCGGGTCCCAAGCTACCTGCCAATTAAAATGCAAACAACTGAGCAATTCCATACCAACATTAAGCCAAAAGCATGCGGCCCCTACACCAGTACTTCGTGCATTCCATCCACATTCCTTAATCAAAGCTCGTGCTCCGGCAATATGGTTCATACGTTGCATCGCTCTTTCGGACATGATCTCATAAACGTTAAGAATGACAGCTGTAGTTGCACAGATGACAGTATCTCGATCGGGATTTTGTAACGATCGCAACAATTGAGTAGTGGCTGTGTCATAATAATATAATGCTTTGTCCTCCTGGTAAACAGGATTGACAAGAGTCAAATGTCGAGCTCCACATGCTAGGAAAGCATTGAGAAGCATGGGTTCTCCTAGAGAATGGAACGGTAATAACCTAGAGAAGTGTTTCATCGGGTCCATACTATCCATCCATAATCCAACTTCCTCGACGAAAACTTGCATATATAGAACTTCTTCGGGAGTAGTAAGATAATCCCGACTTTCGTTAGGTGGCGTGATGATTTGTTCCGAAGCAGTGTATGCAGTCGGCGCGGTCAAATAACTAGAACTCTCACTGCCAGCGTGAGATAAATGCCTACTTGTGTGCCTAGAATGTGAAGAATGTGCCACCTCTTGCTTAGCCCCAAGATTATTATCCATGAAAGTACCAGCAGTCTGTATTGGCGGAAGGGCATTCCCTTGCATCATAGGATCAACAACCACAGGTCGCATAGGATATTCGGTGGGCGGATCTCGAGGAGGGGTAATTGTTTGTTCGATGTGAGCATATCGACTTAAGCCGCCCTTGTATTCTGAAGCAATTTCGCGGGACTCATCTTGAAATTGAACTAAACATGCGTGAGTAAATGTATGGTTAAAATATCCTTAAATCTACTGACCTGACCAGTCTGCTGTAGGAGGGATCATTGGTGGTGATTTGATCTGGGTATCGATAAAATTTAGTCGCACCCCTCTTTTGCATTCCCGACTAGATTTCCGGCAATTCAGACAATTTGGTAAACCCTCATCGCATTTCAAATGTCTTTCTCTGCATGTCAAACATCCCGTCCGTACTCGTTTTGGTTTATTTGCAGCGGTCGTTGAAGCCTCCGCAGCAGTTGCGGAAGACGCATCATTTCCTGGCATCTGATTATCTATCTTTGCTCGAACTTTAATCTGCTTGGGCTTTCCATTAATCTTTTGACGTTTTGTAGGTCTAGGACTGTTGTCGCGGATAGGATAAGCTGGGGAAGCGTATCGTTGATCGCCAATGATAGTCAAGTCCGATGTGGTACTGGTAGATCCCGAATATACTGGTGAGGGGTTCGATTGAAGGTATTGATATTCCAGATCGAATCCTGGCGCAAGATAAGGCTGGTTGTATGCCGCCACGATTGGGTATGCTGCGAATCTTCGCAGAAGATTTTCTCGTCGTATCTCCGTATTCCCAATAACATTGGCCAACGAGAAGATATTTGAAGTTGGGATACAATGGCAGATGTGATGCAGATGAAGATCGAAGCAATGTCACGGTAGAAACCCACAATGATGGTAAATTTTGATTAATATTGAAGTGGGATATCGATTTATGGACTAAGTAGAACTTGGACGGAAAGCTGTGGATCCGATGCCAAAAAAAAGATCTTGATACTGCTCAGGTATCCTTGTGAGGCGAGTGAGGGTCGAGAACAAAGATGATGCAGATTGCCTGTGTCGATAATGGAGATGGGGAATGTTCGAAAAAAAGAAATTCGGAAGTAGGGAATCAATTCTTTACATCCATATCTTCATATAAATGTGTAAAAATGCCAACTACCACTTTCTTGCTTTTTTTGACCTTTTAAATATCGAAATTATTTCGTTAGACGTGTTGACATACCTACCTACGGAGTACATCCGCATCCTCTTTATTAATTGGTGGCGGCTGGAAATTATAATGAGTGCAGCAAGAAGCCTGTTTGAAGTGAAGGTACGAAATGTACTGTATAGGGTTAAATTCCCGAACTGATGTATGCAAGTACCTGGCATCTCAATGATCATCGCCCCCCTTGATGCTTTGATTCGGCACGACTTTCAATAATTCGTAAATAAGGATCAGATTCTAGACTCAAGATTTTCTGAGAAGAAGATGAAGCTATACTCAGATGAGTTTACCGTCTCCGGTTTTCTCTTCAAGGATTCAACGCCGCCATTCTACTTTGGAGCCGATCCAAGAGTCTGAGTGGAAGGAAGAATTTAGCCTTGTACGAGAGCGAGCAAAAGTACGAACACAGCACATAATACCTAGGTAAGAATAAGTGTGGAACTAACTACGAGTGAAAGCAGAGAACTTATCAGAGAAGTACTCCTGAGTTGGATCGATGTCGTGTAATGCATATTCTTACCAATGTTGAAGTCCTGGAAGTCCTGGAATTCATCATACTGTACCTACCTGCCTCGCCTAGCCAAGGGGGCACAGTAGTATGTACGTAGATCTTATTCTGCGTTACATTGTGAAAGATCTATTGATTCCCTTCAGAGCATAAGATGATATATTTCTAACAATATCTTGGTAGTCAGCGTCAATGAGTTTTCGTCGATTTAGGAAAAGATCCTCAAGATATCGAATACCTACCATGCCTGTTTTATGGTCTTTTTATTATCCATGATACTCTGGATGGCAATTCCTTTTTGCGCTCAATGGACAATATGGGCATTACAGCTGATAAATGTCCTTGAATTCATCCAGAGGCGTTTCTTATATGGTTAGTAAGTGATTTTAAAGTATTACCTTCCTCATATAGTAAGGTCAAGACCCCAAAGTAAGGTCAGTGTGTCTATCCATCCAGTGTCTTATTCGAACACTTTCTAGAACTCCATGAGTACAATAAATGTTTGCCATCCAGTGCCGACAAGAGATACAGACTTCTCATCATGTGTACCACGCACACAAGAATCTCGATATTCTCACCGCCGATCCATGTTCATATCACAAACCTTGGGACGTAAGAGTTGAGGCCCCGGCTTATCGCACACTAACCGAAAACATACCAAAAACCTTCATTTCTTCATTTCTTCAACTTTTGAATTATATATTATTTCAATAAATATAGAAATTGAATTATTGAAATTGATATATATTATAATTAATTACTAAAATTATTCCAAAAAATAAATGAATTATTTTAGTATTTTTTTTGATATAATTATAGGTTTTCAAAGTTAGAATTTCAAAAAATTTCAAAAAAACTGATTTTTTTATATGGGAAAAGCATTATATATAATAAATTTTGAAAATTTCTAACTTTGAAAACCTATAACTATATCAAAAAAGATATTAAAAATAATTTATTCATTTTTTAAGATTTCAAATATAGTAATTTCTTATATAAAAGATTTTCAAATCAACTTTTAAATTATTAAAAAAATTATTAAAAAAAAATAAGTTTATGTAGGAAAATGATTTTTTTTGTAGGAATTCTGTTACGAAAAAGGGTAGTGTGCGATAAGCCGGGGCCTCAACTCTTACATATTGGATTTCCCTCCCCTCGGGATGTGACAGTATGTTTAATGTAGGATTGACTTGCAGAACTTTTGATTCTCTTGGCAGATCGGCCCGGGAATCGATCTTGAAGACCCCGTTTGCTTTAAAAAGAACATGTTGCATTTCACGTGATGAACACAATCTCCACTTCTCGTTAGAACGATCTCAGAGATCTGTGAATCAACGTTGGATCTTTTCATGCATCAATGATATATAGATGCGTTAAGCGTCGCTTACTTTTGATCTACCAATGCTAATCTATATGCTTTATTGGAGCCGTATGATGTCGAAGGTGACTGGATCAACGAAACTACTTTCTATTCAAGCTTCATCTAACCGTTACGTCAGTTATGTATTCGTGCATATGGGCGTGGATCATGAACATGGATAGTATGGATTACTGCAGTCATCAATAACTATGACTTCTTCACAAGCAAGTCAGCATTAGACCTGCATATCAGAACTCTATGAGAGTCTTAGGTCGATAGGGAATGGTCGCAACCAGGATTTGGGTATCAAAAACTGACATGTCTGCGGGTTTAAGTCATGCTTACAACAAGCGTAAAGATTACAAATGTACAACTGTCTAATTAGATCTTCACTCACTGTTCGTCTCTTACCCATTTACTACTTACTCCCCCCCCCCCCCCCTCCATGATCTATATACAGAACCTTCCCTTCCCATCTGTGAAGGACAAACTGAAAGGCTCTTCTATTTTCGTTGACAATTGAAGTTTGCAAGTCCTATAAGTATCTTTACTATCTGCAGAAGTCTCTGCATTACCCGCGGTTGGAAGTTGTCCTATTCATAGTCAATGAAATATCATCGAAATGACACTACCCCGGAAGCCAAGATCTGTACTCCTTGACTTGTAAAGTTCCATTACTATGTCTATCTTATAGAGCATGCAAACCTCTGCAGTTGTAATATCAAGCTCGAAACGCTTTCTATGGTGTTTTCGGTCCTGTCTGGCTGGGGGTACAGTCGTCAAATCGGATGAAGCTAATTAGGATCTGGCCAAGCAATGTCTTGCTATTTTGGAATCTTGAACAGTTAGGACGCTCGCTTGCTTTCTTTCAATGAAGCAACTATCTTTGGGTGCTTTGAGAATAGAGCGTGAAGTTTGAGGTATGATCAGAGCATGAAAACCCATTGGCCTTTCCACGCTTCATCAACAAACAGTATCATTCGAAGCCACAGTTTCCAATACCACCATTATAAGATGCATGAGCAATGTCATTAAGCCCTTTATATCTCAATCGCATCATCCATGAGGACCAGAACCTGTGTATGTAAAGGCTATTGAAAGCACGCCATTTGAATTTTGAGCTTCTGCGCAGGTCCTCCTTTTTCGCAAACGCCTTACAAGATAAGATGTAACTGCTCTGCGACTTTACTTGCTCTTTGGCTATTCTTCTACATAGTACGAGCTTGACTGATCTCACGATCCATCTTGCGAATATAGCCTCTTTACTTTCTGGTTAAATACCACATACATGCTCAGGTCTTCAACCTTTTCAAGTCGCTCAACATATTCAGTATATTTTCATGATATCGCCCCTCTTTCAATGCACCTCCTTGGCATGAGAATCGAATATCTCACCCTGTTTGAGACTCTCAACCCTTTTCAATCTCTCAAACAAACCGAGTTTTTCAACGCATATGAAGTAGAAAGAATGTCTTTACAAATTACAATTTCATTCCATGTCAAATTGAGATCTCTCACGATTATTCATGATCCTCTCAATCAACTATGATCTATCGTCTGAAACCTTTCTCAAACACACCTCCAGAATATGAATTTTCCCCAGAAAGTATTCCGCACAATTTCATTAACACTACACGAGAAGGCGCTTTTTTTTGTATGTACTATAATTCATTCCACATCATCTTTTCCGTTTAAATTCACTTCCATCATCACAGTCGGTCAGCCGCTACGTTATAAACATTCGAAAGCGTATAATTTGTTGGATCTCGACAGTACCTTGTCGACCGTTGGGTTTCATGTGGATTTCTCTCTTGCTATTAAGAAAGTCGACGCAGAATGCAATGTAAATTCTGTGAGCCGAGTAGATGCGGTGTGTATCCAACATTCTATGTCCCAATTCGAAGGACTGAGGCACAGGAAATGGAATTCCACATTATGCGTCTTTATGTAATGTCTAATTACCTGCTTTGGATTTTCCCTGCTCCGCTATTCATATCTCAATATCATGGTAGTGAGATTCGTAGTATTTCAAAGTATCCACAGATCTGGTCCAGTGTGATTTGGTTGTGTATTCGGCTAGTTCCATCAATAGGTATTGGTATATATTTCGCTTCAGCATCATTTTCTCATCTGATGTGTACAAGAACCCCCCTCAAGTAGCCTGTCTCTTCTCGAAAAATTTCCCCAGCTTATCTGCTCGTATATTAGATAATGATAATATCCATCCAAGGATCAAAGCCTCGGATATCATATCGGTATTAGCATTGTCGCGAAAGATTCTCTTCATCTAGTATTCTCAGGATACAACAGAGCTTACATGGTTCCACATACAAATCTTGCGATCTTGACTGAGAAGTTTTCACAGACCTATTCCACCAATGTGAACTTCGAGAACGGACGTGTGAAATACTCAGATGTTTCAACGAGAATCTTGATATTTCAAGGGAAAAAACACTTTCTGACGCATACGGTTAGGGTCTGAGATTTGGAGATGAGGTCTATATATATCCCGCGATAATCAATACTGCAGATAGAGATAGAGTAGTTGAGAATAATGAGGAGATGAAAGTTGGTACTATTGCTGACATCACGTTGCGTTCATGTTGTTGTTACTTATACGTGACACGCAGCTTTTGAATGGCGCTGAAGGCCAAAGGAGAATGAACTTCAAAGTTTGGTCCACCAGGTCGGTTTTCACATGTAAATGGGTAGATATGATAATCTTTGAGTTTCGTTTTAAAACATATTGATCTATCAAAAATACATTGTAACAGATCTATAGATCGAAGTGGAGGTGGTCTTGAATATATTGTTGATGGTATCTTGCTCATTCGCGTGTATCGCTCATATTCACAATTATACCTGCGGCCACCATCTATGAATCTCACCCCTTAGGATCTCATAAGCGAGCGATTCTAAAAAATATTTAGAAATGTCAGTCTAGAGCATCAATCGCGGATCGGCACATGAATTATTAGCTATTAAAAATATCATTATTCTCTATATTTTCACATATACATATATATCTATTCCACATCAGCATCAAACATACATTCATGCCATTCTATTTTCTGAAATATTATTCCATATCGCCATCACATTCATCGACATCACTCCCAGGCGTTAATGGCTAAAACCCAGTGGTATCGATCTTGACGATACTCCCTGCTACGGTCACGGTTCCATTGATGGGTAATGCCAATCCTATTCACAATTAGTCCCGTCAAACTTGCA